ATATTGAAAATCAGACATTCACCTCTTGAACAAATCTAGGTGTCATCACCCACTGGAACAAACATGAGAGTATATGGGGGTAGACAACAATGTTAACCCGGACTATATGCTTTGTTCATCTCCTGAAAGATTCTACAGATATGTTTTTTACGACTTTCAAATTCCTATTCAAATCAGTTAATTAGTGATTACGTCATATGTATATGAAGCGCTTTGAACATGCTTTTGAATATGGATTTGGCTTATTGTAAATATAAACATTATTATCAGCGTTAGAAATTGGCACTTGTCGTGTAGTCCTTGCCAAACTGCCCAATAGTTAAGGTATCATAAGGACTAGTAGAATTTTGACATTTTAAGGGTTTTGCTTTATGTTATCATTTAAGGACTAGGGGACTTAAACTGTTAGTTTCTACCGCTGATTACTATATTGGCCATCAACAGCTCATCCAATAACTTCGCACGCTTCAGCATCATCAGAATCCACATGTCGCCTTTTCACCTCGTTCACAGGTCATGTAAAGTGGCAGTTATTTTGGACTTAACGTTTTCCATGTTCAAATGAGATCTTTTTGTGTCCCCATACGTCTTCCCTGGTCACAGCACTTGGAACCAGCATTCGTGTCATCCATATTGTCTAGGATAACGCCCGCCAGTGAAGGAGTCCGAGTTGTCAAGTGTTTGCTGTACACAAACATGTATGTCCGAGTGCACAGAGAAATTCTAGTATCTCCTCATTTAAAACGACATAGTTTACCCTCAACGGATCAGCTAATGTTCACCGTTACTTTTTATGCAGAGTGTGTGAGTGACGGGGGCTGCCAGTAGGGCAGGACACGCTGCCCTTTTCGCGAACACCTGGTGTCATCACTGATTTTCAGTGATCCATTCATATAATTCTTACCGCTATTTTGTCTTTTACGCCAAATGGAATCTGTTTCGGCGGATAATCGAGAATTAGCATTAAGGAGTGGTCAGCTCGGAGCCAGTTTACTGTGTCTGAGTGGGGTATTCATGGTAAACTGTGGCATGGTATCTCAGTGGGTTAGCACTGTAAAATTGGCATTAGTCCGGACTAGTACAAGCAGCCAACCAGGCAGCCAGCCACACGCACACACACACACACGCACGCACGCACGCACGCACACACACGCACGCACGAACGTCGCTATATAAGTGCAATAATCTCGAACGCGACATAAACCCCCATATCACCTCACATTGTGTCACTGTGCCTTGACTTGAGTCGCACTTTTTGGCATCTATATTTGATTCATTATTTTCGAACTAGAATTCTCATGCACATACTGCTTAAAAATACCAAAAGAATTAACAGTAAGCTGTAGTCCAATTTAGCTTAGGATTTATCATTATACCCAGATTTTTACAGGCGATAACGGTCTTATGTGGAATATTATTCTACGTCCATCTTTCGAATCTAGATTAAAACATTAATTATGTGTAAACGCTTCAGTTTACCCCGATCCTCCGTCGACTGCAAAGACAGTGAACCTGTTTTTATATACACATTTTATTGACACTTCAATTTACCCGAAGGCGACTAATCAGCGATAACAGAAAGAAGCGCCCATAAAGGATGTAAAATATCACCAATAACTGCTTTTACATTGACGGAGGATCGGGTGTAAAATCGAGCAGTAATCTATATATTTTGCTGCTAAAGAGTAAACACAAACGGACTCAGGACATCACCGAGTACCTTTGGTTCGAATAACACTCAGTCTGTGAACATAAAATTGTATATAACTCCATTAAAAATTGAAGAAGGAATCCCAGTGAGATAGTTTGTTTGTTTGTTGTTTTACGCCGCACTCAGCAATATTCCAGCTATATGGCGGCGGTCTGTAAGTAATTGAGTCTGGACCAGACAATCCAGTGATTGTTATCATGAGCATCGATCCACACTATTCGGATTGATGACTAGCTTCAACCAAGTCAGCGAGCCTGACCACCCGATCCCGTTAGTCGCCTCTCTCCACAAGCATAGTCGCCATTCACGGCAAGCATGGGTTGCTGAAGACTTTGATATATGATCTTGAAGAAGTGTGTTTTATGATTACTTCATTGTTTGTTTGTTGTCTGAATGCTGAATTAGTCCATCCATATGACATTCTGTAAACAATGAGTCTGCACCAGACAAACCAGTGATTGGTTACATGTGCAATGATACCATGAGTGAGTGAGTGAGTGAGTGAGTGAGTGAGTGAGTGAGTTGGGATTAACGCCGCTTTTAACAGTATTCCAGTTATATCACAGCGTGTCAGCTTAATGTGGGAGGAAAGCCCGAAGTGATGCAGGTCTCAGACGTTTACCACTTCGGTGAAACCCACGAGCACGGGTATGGTGCTGACAAACCTAGAAACATAATCGGGGTGAACCGGGATTCGAACCCACAATCATAGGTTTCTGGCGTGCCAAAGGGACGCAACTCTGCACAGCGAATCGCGGCGCCTTAGACGACTGGGCCACCCGTGCCCCCTAATGGTACCATGACTAACGGTGGGACAATACACTGATGCATCACGATTTTTTCCATCACAGTCGCACACTAAGTAAAACAATATCGATTCTGACCTTGAATGTTTGCTTTAATAACTCTATGGGATCTACCTTCAGCGCCACTGAAACATCAGCACTATTTTTAATGCCTATGTGACCGCCTCCTTGGTCTAGTGGTAGAGCGTCCGCCCAGAGAGCGGAAGGTCCGGGGTTCGATCCCGGGCCGGGCCGCAGCCACACACACACACACGTACATGCACGTCGCTATATAAGTGCTATGGACGCGACGTTAAACCCCATTTCACCTCACCTATAATGCCTATGGGTTATAGCTATATCCAAACAATACACCAGTACTATATATAATGCCTACGGGGTATAGCTATATCCCAACAATACATCATTACTATTTATAATGCCTATTCGGTCTATCTTCATCCCCAATAAAACATCACTAGTATGTATATTGCCTGTTGGGTTCGTTCTCATTTGAAAAAAAACATAAGTGTGTTTTTTTTTTTAATGCCTACGTGGTCTATCTTCATCCCTGATAAAACATTACTAATATTTGTAATGCCTATGGGGTCTATCTTCATCCTTGATAAAATATCGGGGGCACGGGTGGCCCAGTCGTCTAAGGCGCCGCGATTCGCTGTGCAGAGTTGCATCCCTTGGGCACGCCAGAAACCTATGATTGTGGGTTCGAATCCCGGTTCACCCCGATTATATTTCTAGGTTTGTCAGCACCATACCCGTGCTCGTGGGTTTCACCGAAGTGGTAAACGTCTGAGACCTGTATCACTTCGGGCTATCCTCCCACATTAAGCTGACACGCCGTGATATAACTGGAACACTGTTAAAAGCGGCGTTAAACCCAACTCACTCACTCACGATAAAATATCAGTACTATTTATAATGCTTATAGGGTCAATCTTCATCCTCAATAAAACATCACTGCATGTTATAATGCTTATTGGGTCTAACTTTATTACCAATAAAACATCACAACTATATATGCCTATGGGGGCCCCTCTTCATCCTCAATAAAACATCACTGCATGTTATAATGCTTATGAGGTCTAACTTTATTACCAATAAAACATCACAACTATATATGCCTATGGGGGCCCCTCTTCATCCTCAATAGACCGCCTCCGTGGTCTTGTGGTAGAGCGTCCGCCCGGAGAGCGGAAAGTCCAGGGTTCGATCCCGGGCCGCGTCATACAAAAAGACGTTAAAAGATTGTACTTGTTGTTACCCTGTCTGGCGCTCGGCATTAAGGGGCTAAAACAAGGACTGGTCGGCTCGGAGTCAGTATACTGTGTCTGAGTGTGGTATTCATGTTAAACTGCGGCATGGTATCTCAGTGAGCTAGCACTATAAATCGGCATCAGTCCGGACTAGTACAAGCAGCCACACACACACATATAAGTGCAATAATCTTGGACGCGACGTTAAACCCAATTTCACCTCACCTCACCTCATCCTCAATAAAACATCACTGCATGTTATAATGCTTATGAGGTCTAACTTTATTACCAATAAAACATCACAACTATATATGCCTATGGGGGCCCCTCTTCATCCTCAATAAAACATCGCTACTGTTTATAATGCTTATGGGGTCTAACTTTATTACCAATAAAACTTCGCAACTATATATGCCTATGGGGGTCCCTTCATCCTCAATAAAACATCGCTACTGTTTATAACGCCTATGGTGCGTATCTTCATCCCTAATAAAACATGAGTAATATTTATAATACCTATGGGGTCCATTTTCATTCCTAATAAAACATCACTACTCTATATAATGTCTAGATGGGTCTACATTCACTTCTATTTATATTGCCTTTAGGGTTTGTATTCAGCCCAAGTAAACATTTCTGGTGAGAATATTCAGCAACCCAAGCTTATTGTAAGAGGCGACTATATCTACTTTTGGTAAGAGACGACCAGAAGGATCGGGTTGTCAGGCTTGCTGACTTGGCTGATGCTTGTCACCGTATCCAAATGGTTTAGATACATGTTCATGTTGGTAATTACTGAATTTCAGGCCAAGAGTCTATTATTTACAGGCCGCCGTAATGCGGCTTGAATATTGCTGAGTGCGCCGAGTGCGTGTATTGCATACACGCTGTATGGTGTCGGGGCGGTCGGGTAGCCTAGTGGTTAAAGCGTTCGCTCATCACGCCGAAGACCCGGGTTCGATTCCCGACATGGGTACAATGTGTGAAGCCCATTTCTGGTGTCCCCCGCCGTGATATTGCTGGAATATTGCTAAAAGCGGCGTAAAACCATACTCACTCACTAATACCAAAATGTAAAAATGTCAAACATTTTCATGAAGTGAGCTACAGCGAGCCTTTGAGTGTTTATTTGTATTGGTGGCGCGGTGTGTGTAGACTCTTAAACACTGCCATCTACTATAATGAATGCTGCTAGGAGCTTTGATAATTTCAGCCAATCACATTAGAAGGATTCTGCGTGCCCTGACGTAGTGTCATTTTGCTGCAAAATGGCGGATTTTCAAAATAGTTGATGTTTGCAAAGTTTATGGTGTCAATGAATTACGCTTGATGGTCAGTATGCGTTTGAAATGCTATTGCATGCTGATTCAAGTAAACTCTATCGCCCAAATGAAAGTGAACATTTTGTTCTGTCCGTGGAAGACCAAAACAATACATCATGAGTAACCAGCGGTCACGTACCGCGAAATTCGAGAAATTATCAAAACATGTATTGTCGGCGAATTGTTCACTCAAGGAGAAGGCAGTTCACCGGGCGCAGATGTCTGTTGACACACCAACACTGACCTTGCGTGATTTCACCATCACACCCAGTATGATCTTGGGATTAGTTTTGTTTTGAATTTATGGCCCGAATTTTGTAACTTGGGTCCGTTTTTCTCTTTCACTGGGTTACTTTTGTTATTGTCAGGGTGTCTCAGGTAAATACAAAAACCTGTTAGCCCACTTTCTTTCCTTACAAATCCACTTCAAATATTTTGAAAGGCCTGGGGGTGGGGGGCTGCACATATACACTAAAACATCGGTTATTTGTGGTTGTTTTAGTTGTAACATTTGGTTTGAAAAGTTATTTGTCACTTCAAATGTTTTGGTTATAGCTCACTAGCTAACTGATTCTATCGTCTCGATGTTGAATAATGAAAAATGGTATACAGTCAGAAATCTTTGCAGAAAATTTTATACTCTTTTGGTATCCTCTCCCCCATAAAATACATTGAATATTTCTTTAGCAGTTCAGCCATGTTTGAAATTCACAGCACAACACCTTTCTCTATGATGGCGATACATATTTGCAATGAATATTATTTTGAAACAGGTTACAGATAAAACTAAGCAATGGATTCCCAGGACTCCTTATACCTTGGTGAGGATTTCAGCATGGTTGCTGCACAGGGAATGCGTCAGTCCATTGACAACCAGACACTGGGAGCTCCCCCAGCCCCTGTTGCAGCTTCCACTGTAGCCAGAGATCAGCAAAGGTAAGGTCTGACGTGGTGGTAAAGTTTAGGTGTATCTTACAGGATAATTTACAGATCTTTTGTTTGAACATGAAAGATGGTAAATGCAGGTGTTCAGTTATTTAAAAAAAGATATATTAGGAATATATTTATAATACCTTGTCTCTCTTCGGTTCGCATGTTATAATGACAAACTAACATGTTCATTTTGTTAAAAGTACTGTTTCGTTACAACAGTTTGTCATGTGAACTAGGATTAATCCAGACCTGCTATTTGGTCCCAAGTCTGCAGCAAATGACAGTACAAATTCCTAATTCCTCATGATGTATGAAAATAACATTTAAAGAAATCCAATTTTGACCGATATCATGAATTTTTCCCAATTTGCTTGCTAAGCATGCTAAGGGCACTTAATGTGGAATCCAAGATAAAACCCTGCGTGTACTACATTTGTTCTTATGTAGATCAGTGTTCAAAATTAGGTGAGGTCCTCGAGGTTTGCACCTGTGGTATTTGAATCTGGGGACCCCTAAATCTTTAACATCTTACATCAGAGTTTGGATAAGGAGCCTTAATTTTCATGCACTGTTTTGCACACTGTTGATGTTAACATGATTAACTCTCTCCAAAGACATTTCTATGATTATTGGTGTAATTAGTTGGTGATGTGTTATCTATGATAAAGATGATGTAGTTCATGATGGTAGATCTATGGTAATTTATCTCAGGGGCGGTCGGGTAGCCTAGACTAGTGGTTAAAGCATTTCATCACGTTGAAGACTGGGTTCGATTCCTGGGTACAATGTTTGAAGCCCATTTCTGGTGTTCCCTGCAGTGATATTGCTGGAATATTGCTAAAAGCGACATAACACATCACTCACTATTTTATCTACTACATTTCAGGTTTAGACACTACCACTGATGTGATAGTTCTGAAACTAGTGAAAACCTGGAAGACTATTTGTGTTTCTCCTTAATGCCCAAAAGCTAGATATGTTTCTGAAACCACTGGTCTGAATTGAGCCAGTGACCAGTTGAATTTAACTCCTGGCATCCTGCATGTGTTCCAGATTTAAAGAACTGTCAAGTGTAGATCCACGTGGATCTTTCCTTACCTCTTCTGAGACATCCCTTGTGGCCACACCCAGGGATGAATACCCAGGGATGAAACTCTCCTTCGGTGGCTTTGACCAGTCATCAGGAGGAGGCCAGAGCCAAGGATTGACCAAACAATCTGTCAACCTTATTGAATTTTCAAAAACCAAAAATGAAATTGACAGGTTTGTCTTGTTAAAACCACAGCTTCCTATGGAGATTTTCAGTTGTCCAATTCTTTTGGATTGTTTCTAATGAAAGACGTATACACCATTTTAATATGTGTTTAGAAATAATAATTATTAAGTCGTGATATTGCTCACAAGATTTGTTGTTTTTGATTTTTCATGAAGTAATGTTAACTCACTCACCGAGTTTCACGATGTTCTCGGGGCGGTCGGGTAGCTTAGTGGTTAAAGCGTTCGCTCGTCACGCCGTAGACCTGGGTTCGATTCCCGACATGGGTACAATGTGTGAAGCCCATTTCTGGTGTCCCCCGCCGTGATATTGCTGGAATATTGCTAAAAGCGGCGTAAAACCTTATTCACTCACTCACTCACGATGTTCTCAGACAATCTTTAAGCCTACTTTTGTTATTGATTTATCGAGTGCCAATCAGTGTAAGTATTATTATCATGATTATATACATGATGTACAACACTAGACAAAATAGAACTATTGAGCTTTAGTAATTATTGTGTTTCCTGCTTACAGAAACGAGGACTCGGACGAATATCATGGCAATTTGAGTGCAAGGTCCTCCCTAGGAATCCTGCCAGTAGAAGCCTTGAATGGTACGTAATCTGTGTGACCTTTCTGTGCACCGTGCATTTGCCTGTAACCATGGTAATGAAAGGCTGAATGGAATGTGAAAAGTTATGTGCTGAGCTTGTTGGCTGTAATAAATAACAATATTTTTGTGGTGTTAGACAGCTTGGATAGTTTATCCTTGTGCACTTTGGTATTGGATAGGGTTGTTCAAATTATTGATTGCATCAATGATTGATTAGTTTCAGTTTCAAATTTATGTCTAATCATAGATAGCAGGCTTATTTTCTGGTTTAAGGATTATGTGTTTTTTATTTATTTATTATTTAGGTGTGACTATTGTGGCTATTTTCACTATTGTGATAGTATTGCAATGGTATTGCGATTTTAATAAACCAACTTGAAGGCTTGATCGTTATTTTAATCAGTGTAATACAAATGAATGTAGTATTGTGTCAAAGTCATCCAAACCAAAGGGAAGTAACTCTAATCTGAAGTTGTAGTCTTTGCTAATGAACACACAGCAGGTTTTGAAAATTAAAGTGAGCCTTCTGACGAATAATTTATGTTTTGTTCACAACTAATTTATAACTGTCAATTGTTATGCATACTATTGACAATACCTTTGTCTTTTTAATTCCTATTGTCATAATTGATATACCGATAGTTTGATAGATCGTTACCCTCCTGTTATGTATGTTATATGATGTTTTTAACTTGGTATTTAAAATTCCCCAGACTATGAGTTGTTACCTTTGGGTAAGTACTGATTCATTGTTTGTCTGAAGTTTGAGACTGATGCTTGAACCATTTAGAGCTGTTCTGTGTTGGTAGAGTTCTGTCATCTCATGTTGATAGTTCTTTGTTTTTGTTCCCCTTGTCTTCTTTATGCAGCAAGATCATTTTTTACAAAATGCAAGCATGAAACTTTATGTTGAATTGGTACTCAGATGAAGTCTAAGGGTTGTTTGAATTCATCAAACAAGTGACATGAATGATGCTTTGTAATTCCTTGTGGTACAGTGTGTGTTGTATAATGAGGTGCTTCCTTGAGTATCATTTGTACTATACCTTCATTCAGTGATGGACCCGTGAAGATTCCGGGGTAGAATAGGTCTTCAGAACCCATGCTTGACATGAAAGGCGACTATGCTTGTCGTAAAAGGCGACTAACGGGATCGGGTGGTCAGGCTCGCTGACTTGGTTGATGCATGTCATCGATCCCAATTGCGTGGATCGAAGCTTATGAAATTAATCACTGGATTGTCTGGTCCAGACTCGATTATTTACAGACCGCCGTCATTAGCTGGAATATTGCTGAGTGCGGCGTTACACAACAAACCAACCAATCATTCCATGATGATAAGTACCCTGGACCCAATCGCCTCCATTAAATCTCTTCCACTTTATTAACACCTGCCACAAAGTGGAAGGGGGATATAGGAATGGGTGCTGTCCATCCGTCATGTTTTGTTTTCGGAACAGAACCCCAAAACCATGAGAGATATCTTAACCAAACTTGGCACATATTTAGGTCTCATGGTGAACTGGTGCCTTTTGATAGTTTGGGATTTAAAAAAAAAATTTCATGCTTGTTTGTCCTGTCATCAGTGAAATAAATACTGCTCATGACAAGTTAAGGACCAACCACAATTGAACCACAATTGGAAGGCTCAGTGTTGCAATACCCACCAGCCATGACAGATTGACTATAGTCATATGAAGAAATCAAGTGTTCTTTAACATGTTTAACTTCTTTTGAGTTGTATATCCATGTTGTTATCAAGACCTCATTATTTTCATACATGTTGTATTGTCATTGTGGGAGAGCATTTAAGCACAGGCCTTTGATGCTGTGATAGTTTCCTTCATCATCTTGTTATCATCCTATATATCATGATGCACTGCATTAAATAGGATCAGAAAATCTTTTTTCACTCTTTTTCAATCTTTTTCTCTAAAGCATCATGCATGAGTCTGAGAGTATAACTTGTGAAAACATACTGAAACACAATTTGAATGGACTACCGATTACAATAAGTTTCAATGTGATTTTATTCTCTTCTGATTTTGATGACACATTTTGATTGTGAAGTGACTGATTTCTGATTGGCTGGAGTGATTGGAATTGTCGCATGACCTTTGACCCAAATTCCAATTTGGGGGTCGAGTACCATAAACAACTTCCTATAGAAACTGTAAACATTGGGAAAATATCATCACTATTACTTTTTCTAACTGAAACAATTGATATAATCATGATAATACTAATTAAATATATCAGGGAACATGAAAGTATCATTTTTCGAGGAACATGAAAGTTGCATTTTCATTGTGTTTCGCTGCAGTGTGTTGTTTTGTAAAGTTAAATAAGAATGTCTCAGTAGTAAGCATGCTGCAAGAAATAATTTGAGTTTGATTGTAACATTACTCTCTAGCATAGAGCTAAAAGATAAATACTATTTCAGCTTGACTGAGTGTTATGCTAACAATAGCCACAGTGAACTTTTAATCTGGCGATGAAACTAAGGCGCCACGATTCGCTGTGCAGAGTTGCGTCCCTTGGGCACGCCAGAAACCTATGGTTGTAGGTTCGATTATGTTTCTAGGTTTGTTAGCACCATACCAGTGCTCGTGGGTTTCACCGAAGTGGTAAACGTCTGAGACCTGCATCACTTCGGGCTTTCCTCCCACATTAAGCTGACACGCCGCGATATAACTGGAATACTGTTAAAAGCGGCGTTAAACCCAACTCACTCACTTACTCAATGAAACTTCATTCACCTGATGAGGGTCAAGAAGTAGCCCTAATATGTTGTCACAAACAATGAAGACGTTGTTAGCAGTTTTTACTATAAAAAGTATATATGGACAATACTAGTTGTATGATCTTTATCATGTTTAGATTTAGGGTGTCCGATTTCTGTTTGATGTGAGCCATATGAGAAAACATTGTCCATCAGCAACGTATGTTTACATTTCCATCCTACCTTTCTCAAAGTATGTAACACAAGGCTATGCTTTCGTCATTCAAGCAATATTCCTGATACATCATGGCAGGCAACTCCAGAATGGGCTCCACATGTACCCATGTGGAGAATCGAACCCAGGTCTTTGGAGTAAAGGGGGCGGTCTGGTTGCCTAGTGGTTAAAGCAAGTGGTTACCCGACATGGGTACGATGTGTGAAGCCCATTTCTGGTGTTCCCCGCCGGGATATTGCTGGAATATTGCTAAAAGCGGTGTAAAACCATACTCACTCGCTCACTTTGGCGTAAAGAGCGAATGCTTTAACCGCTAAGCTACCCCAACATCCCTCTTCATTCGAGAGTGTTTGTGGGGTTGACCACGATTTTAGTTACATGCTGGGCTGGGTTGGTTGAATTGAAAACCAAACTCAAGAACTTTTCGGAAAGAATGTTTTCAACAAGTAACTTTGTTAGATGGTTGATTGCTAGACTTCTATTTAAGACTATCCAACCTGTCTGAGACAACATCGTTTTGGTAATTTCATTATTTGTTGAACATTTTTGGAGGACATGGAGCCTTTTAGGGTGCCCCATAATTGGAGTGAGTAGGGGTCCCTAAGGCTCTAAGGATTCATGATCTTGATTTAACTCTGTATGTGCTGGATAAGTTGATGTTTGTACAAACATGCATCTTCCCTCGTCAATACACAAAGACACCCAGTGGAGATTTGGGTTAGAATTATTCAGGAACCCAGAGGCGACTAACATGCACATGGTTGATGCATACCATCATATCCCAATTGCGTAGATAGATGCTTATGATGTCAATCACTGAATTATGTGTCCGGACTATTATTTACAGACCACTGCCATAAAACTGGCATATTGCTAAGTGTCGTGTTAGCAATATACAAATACAGTTTGAGACAGGGAGCAATAGGGCCATTGGCTGTCTTTTTTTAAAGACCTGATTAGGAAGTACTGCGACAAGCTCCCAAAAGCTCCAATTTGTCATGGGTTATCACATTTCCATATCAGTAATTATTGCTTATTCACCATTGGACCTGCTTACTTCACAGATCTGTCGGCAAGTCTGCTTCCTGTAACCTTGACCCAGGCCAACATGGAAAAGCAGTCCTACTCACTTCCAGGATCGTTCAAAGACTCTGTGGATTCCGCTGATTGGTCGAAACAAGACTCGAAAGACCCACCAATAGGCATCAGCCATGTTGTCGACACTGTCAAAAAGAGGCCAACAGATCGCGAAGAACCAGCTACTGCTAGACGAGGAGGGACCAACACATGCTTGTTTAATGGCGGAGGCTTAACTGAGGTTGCTGAAACATCAGAGATGGAGCAGAGCATCCTGGATGTTCAGTTTGAAGAAGATGAATTGAAGATGTTAGATGAAGACTTCAGCGATATTGAAGTGTCAGATTTGTCAGATGAAGACAACGAAAGCAAGAAACCCTCGTTATTTGGTCAGACAGACTTAAGTGATTTTTTAGAGATGGAGAGAAAAGTGAACGAAGGAAGTCCCTCCTTGGAAGAGGATGATGAACATGGCCAAGGTGAAGGTCAGGAGTCCGAGGAAGATGATGGACTTGTGTCTTCAAGGAAAAGCGTCAATGACGTGTCTGTTGGTGAGTTCTACTGAATTACATGATTACTCAAACAAGATGCAGTTTTATTATTTGGCAAAATTGTGCTGAAAACATGACTTGCCATATTCCAGCACAAGATTTGTGTTTGCAAATTTTATTTTCCTGTTGATTTCAATATATGTCATAGCTGTGTATGTTAAGAGATTCTTTCATCTTGTTTAGGACTAATCATTTGCAGTTGGTATTTTGAAACAAAATTTATTTGCAGGCCTTGACATGAAATATTTCCGCCCAAGCCCTGTGCCCCCTTTACATGACACTGGAGACGGGGCAGATAGTTACAGACATCAGAGCAACTACAGGCCAGATAACAGTGGGATCACTTCAGGGGCTCACAGTAATGCAGGTGCTTGTCCTCTTGCTGAATTGTACCAGTGGTTAAGTCAGCACACTCAGGGCTGCCAACCCAGAGTTGTGTCCCCTTGCTGTCAGCATTTGCTGATAATGGCAGTACCCTGATTATTATCTTTGGTTTGATTCTTCAAAGTGGTGAACATCAAAGATATGGTATCCCTCCTGTCTGCCTAATTTAAAAGACTAAATCAGAGTGTTTTATTTTTCAAGAATTTCTTTCATGATGGGAACTGTTCACATGGGCTTGAAAAGGCAATGACATTCCAGTCTTAACTGAGTGGACATATGCTAGCAATTGTGGAGTTCTGTTCTCCATATATGCTTTTAAGAGAAACCTTAGTAGGTTTTGTTTGTTTTCATGTGGACAGATTCGTCTTTCACAAGTTTTCATCTGTAATTTTTCGTGACATATTTTTTGGATTAGTCAAGTAGTTTTGCAAACCCAAAATATCAGCCGGTTCCTGAAGTTTTTTGTACAGTAACCAGTCTCTTAACAGAGCAAGTTAATCCGAGGATTGTCCGATTGTCAAGTCTGTGAGTGAGTGTCTGTCTTCCAGGAGACTTCAGTGGTCCTAGTTCTCTATCCCAGCTGAGGAGGCAGTATCGCAGCGGAGACGGGAGTGAGATCGACACTGATGATGAACTAGAGGCAGCCAGACAGGTAGGGAGATAGCAAGTGCATTATGACTGTGTCAGGTAGAAATAGCTTGCTTAATGTTCAGATATTTTCTTGGACCTGATGAGTCAGTTGAAGCAAAATTAGACCATGTTACATGGTTCTGAACAATTTGATCACAAATTGATAAGTTACTTCACCTGAACTAGAGTTGACTTACGTGGTGAACTCTTTTTGATTTTCTTTTTTAATTATTTAATTCTTAAATATATAAAATGACTTTTTGAGAAAAAAACCCAGTTATACAGAAAGTAAGTTGCAAGACCTAATATCTCTTGGAATTTCGGGTTAAAAGTGCTCCTTTACAACTATGCTGGTCCTAAATGGAGATTGACCGGATGGTCAGGCTCGGTGACTTGGTTGATTGTGTGTCATCTTACACCAACGGCAGGGATCATTTCTGACAATGTTGATCACTTGTCAGTGCATTGTCTGGTCCAGACTCTGATTACAGGCCATCGGGATATGCCTGGAATATTGCTGAGTGCGTTGTTAAACAACAAACAAACCTGACATCTCACTGACTGACTAAGCTTGTGTTGACTGTCTATAACCTGACTCCAGAGTCTGGCCCTTGATGAGGAAGACCCACCCAGTAGGCAGGTGCCCCGCCCAGGCCTTGAGGGGCAGCAAGATGAGAGGAGCCAGTTCTCCATGATGCTGAGACAGTCCGCTGAGGGGGACGTGGTTACCTCCCCTGTCCCCGGGGATGGAGGAGGGGGTGGGGATGGCAGCAGTGGCTCAGAAAGGTAATCTTTCCAGTGATTATTGGGGTAACTTGCCAAAATTTCACTTTTGCCACCAAATCATATTTACTATGAGTCAGTTGTATTTAGGGGTGTTAGAGGTTATTGCTATTGCATGTAATACTGATAGCCCTGGATTGATGCTCACATTGGCACCATGTGTGAAGACCATCTTAGCGCTACAATTACCGACATCTATTAAAGTATTGGAGTTATGATCATCTTCCCGCTACGACTAACCTCAGTCTATGATAAAGCATAGGAGTTGCGATCATCTTAGCCCTACGACTAACGTAAATCTGTTAAAGTAGGGGACTTTTGATCATATTAGCGCGATGATTAGGAGATCCGAACTCTTAGAGCTCCGACTAACGTAAGTGTTAGAGTATGAGAGTTATGGTCATCTTGGTGCTACAACTCACGTAAGTCTATGATAATGTATAGGAATTACGATCATCTTAGCGGTACGACTGATATAAATGTTTGATAAAGTATGTCTTATGTGCTTTGATTGCTTTGTGAAACGGGGCCCAGACTTGGTGTCCATTGCCATGATATGACTGGAAAATTGCTGAGATAGGAGTAAAACCAAAGTAACGTTATGCTTTATGTCTGACGTTTATTGTTCTAGTGATGGACAAGTTGGATCCCAGCAGAACCACTCCCTGCCCCACAGGTTTGCACACGGTCAAGTCTACAGGCAGCAGTTTGACCAAGGAGATGCATTTCCAGAGGTAAGGCAGCTCATTTGTTCAACTACATCAAGTCAGCAAATTGATACCTGAGTGATCCTTGTGATGCTGATATTGAATCATGTGATGTTGTGGTTTAAACACTCCTCGTATTTGGTTGAAAATGTAAAACCTCTCGGCAGGTCTCACTTGAAGTAGTAACTCTCACAAGGTTACAATGAGATAGGAAGATACCTGCAATACTATAGGCAAAAGTGGCAGTAGGTTTATAAATTTGATAACTAATTGGTGAAATCTAAAATCTACATGCCTGATGCAGTAAGTTAATGGAATTATTGGACATGAATTTGAAGGATATGTGCCGAACAAAAGTGAGGGTAATACATGAATTCTTGCACAAGTTTTGTAAAATCAGTATGACACACATGCATGTCTAATAATTTTTCTATTACCCATTACTTCTTAATCCTTTTGAGCTCCCCTTTAGAAAAATGCATCAATCACGACCGCCGTCTTCATTGTTGCTTGTGTCACGTCATTCTGACCTTACGTCACAATAAGATTTGAATGACAATGCTGTTCCGATGAACTAACAATTCACTGGTGCACGTGAAGTGATATTTGTACAAGTTGACAAACGATTTTATTATGGGTAATAAATTTATATTGAAAAAGAACAGCGTCTCTCTTTTTATAAAAAAAACTATTCTGAGGATGAGGTGGTCATGTGACCTGGTTGATTGTGTGTCATCTCACTCTTACAGTGTTGCTTATGCTAGATCAGCTGTTTTGTTCATCGGTATATAGCTGTCATCCTTGATAACTTCTAAGTAATGCCTATCAAACAATTTACATAGCGGATATTGACGGATGGTAATAACAAGACTGTCAGAATGGTCAATCTGGTAGAAAAAGGGTATACTCTTTTAGTTGTTGTAATTAGCGTATGGCCCTACAGTATATATTCTTTCCATTAAGAGTATATGTAAATGGAACAAATAACCGGGGATGGATAATGAAAGTCGGAATAACACAGAGGAATTTCTGTTCTCAAATTGGTGACTTTGCTTTCATTGGGGTAGTTTCATCAATCTTTGTTACTTCAGCACTTCTGTTGTGCCAGAACACACTTGGGGCGGGGGCCTGGGTTTGGTTACCCACATGGGTGCAATGTGTGAAGCCCATTTCTGGTGTCCGCTACCGTCATATTGCTGGAATATTGCTTAAAGCGGCGTAAATCCATACTCACCCACTCACTCACTCATACCTGTAACCTATTTTAACTTGAATTGGGATATGTTGACATTATCTGACTAGGTCATGTGTGACGTGGGGCGGTCGGGTAGCCTAGTGGTTAAAGCGTTCGCTCGTCACGCCGAAGACCCGGGTTCGATTCCCTACATTGGTACAATGTGTGAAGCCCATTTCTGGTGTCCCCCGCCGTGATATTGCTGGAATATTGCTAAAAGCGGCGTAAAACCATACTCACTCACTCACTCATGTGTGACGTAATTTGAGAACATAACAAGCAGTAAATATCAGACAGTTAACATATTTTACGGGGAAAAGTTACTGGATTTGATGAATCAAACAGTCGAAATATAACAGAATCAATGCCAGTCTAAGATGACTACCACTTTGACAAATACCTGCATTACTTTGAGACCCTGAGGTGATCCAATTGTTCAATATCTTCTTATTCTGGTCCCTATAAACTGGAAACACTGTTAAGGCTGCATATTTTCTTCACTTTCAGGAAGCCAGAGTGCGACCAATGGGAGATGACCTGTTGTCCAGAGATGAGTTTGCTTCCACTAATGGTGACAACAATTCCGTAGCTGGCATTGACAGATTCTCAACAATGGAGGATGGCCAGAACTACCTGGTAAGTCTATCAGTGACTCAGTACATGCAGAATGAACACACAGTCATTGATACATCATTCACAACATCAGGTGAAGTGAAGCAGCACTCATGGCACAATAGGCATGTGGATGGTTGACAGTGCTTGGTGAAACTCGACATCTGTCTGGGAGTTTCTAGGCTTCAGCTTTGCCCATCACTGTAGTTGTAAAACTTTTCTCCTAGGTTTGTTAGCCCAGAGGCTTTGTTCATGTACCAGGGGCGGTTGGGTAGCCTTGTGGTTCGCTTGTCATGCCGAAGACCTGGGTTTGATTCCCGACATGTTATTCAGGCCGTTAAACTGAAGACTAACTTTATGATAGAGTATCCAAGAGTGGTCACATCATTATCAAGATCGCTGTTATTCAGGCCGTTAAACTGAAGACTAACTTTATGATAGAGTATCCAAGAGTGGTCACATCATTATCAAGATCGCTGTTATTCAGGCCGTTAAACTGAAGACTAACTTTATGATAGAGTATCCAAGAGTGGTCACATCATTATCAAGATCGCTGTTATTCAGGCCGTTAAACTGAAGACTAACTTTATGATAGAGTATCCAAGAGTGGTCACATCATTATCAAGATCGCTGTTATTCAGGCCGTTAAACTGAAGACTAACTTTATGATAGAGTATCCAAGAGTGGTCACATCATTATCAAGATCGCTGTTATTCAGGCCGTTAAACTGAAGACTAACTTTATGATAGAGTATCCAAGAAAGGTCACCTCATTATCTTGACCCCCTATTCTTCAGGCCAATACACTGAGGAATGACATGGAGGACTCGAGGCTGCAGTCCCGATTCCTGGCCCCCGTGGGTCAGTCAATGCGGTTCAGTGACACCCTCTCCCAGCAGGTGCCCCTCAACGCCAGCTCCTTCAACATCGAGGACATGTTCCTGTCTGGTCAGCCCAACACGTCCCAGGACAGCGGCATCAACACCGCCAACACCCAGGAACAGGGGCCAAGGCTGGACGCATCAGGATTCAATGCTGATGATTTCCCAGAGGTAGGGTTAAAACATTGTGGTATGATAATCAGTTTGTACTCTGAAAGACTTTGAAAACGCATAATCCACTTTAACTCGAAATGAGAAAAGAAGTGTTTTTGTGCGTAAGTCCATCTCCACACATTGTTGTGTTTTATTATCTCATGCCTAAGTACCCAGAACTTTTTTTAATTTTTGTTGCCATTTTGCCAAATATTAAAAAAAATGGAATATGCGTTTTCAACGTATTCTATACTTGGATGAGATAAGTGGATAGTGTCTGCTCGGAGAGCAAAATGTTGTTGGTTTCATTACCTGGTTGCATCATACCAAAAGATAGCTGTTACACTGAAGGGGACTCAGCATTAAGGGGATAAAACAAGAACTGGTCGGCTCAGAGACAGTATAAAGTTTCTGAGTGGGGTGAACAGACCAATAGTATCTCGGTGGGCTGGCACTATAAAACCGGCATATGTCTGCACAAGCACAAGCGGCCAGCCAGACAGACACACTCACATGCATGCACATCGCTATGTACGGGAAATAATCTTGAATGTGATGTTAAACCCCATTTCACGTCACCTCCCTCAATGATTCTTTTAACAAGCGTAAATCTAAAGTTCAGCGAACCCTCATTCACTCAAAGTGGTCAGGACCATCTGAAAGGTTGTTTCTGGTTGAAACCAGAATCAATAATAGACCAAAGTGATTATGAGGCTCTATCATGGTTAGCAGTAATTTGAGGGAAAGGCGCTTCCTGTCCTCAAATTAAAAATATGAAATAGCCATTCCCTTGAATTTTCCATTCTTCCATTTATCCAGGTTAAGGATCCCTTTGCTGCTTTCAACTCATCAATGGGATCTTTTGGCTTGAATGCCTCTGTACAACTTCATCAGTCAGGACATGCCAGCCCTCCTGATTGGTCAGATAAAAACACCCACCAGCCAATCGGAGGCAACCAGTCCGTATCAAGCTCAGGCCTTGGTCAGAGTTTTGAAACAGGAATGGATCGTCAATCGATGAACAGTGCAAGAGCTCTGTCTCGTCATGACTCCCTGCCCCATGGTGAGGATGGTGGGGTGGGTCATCCTCTGGGGGGAGAGGCACAAGGAGCCACGGCAGCTGAATCATCAGGACCAGTCGAGTCAAGTGCTACTGCGGATGTCAGGGTCAAGGAGACTGCTGGTGAGTGATGAGGGAAGAGTAATGGGGACAGGTTGGTGGTGCAGGTGATGAAGGTAACTTTACACTTAGGTCGGGGATGAAAATACAAGGTAATAAAATAAAAACACTAATAAGTTCCTAATGCTGGTACCGGCACAAATGGAACCATAATAGGAGTTGCCATGTGTCCAGTGCACCACAAGGTTGGGGTGGTCGGGTAGCCTAGTGGTTAAAGCGTTTGCTCGTCATGCCGAAGACCCGGGTTCTATTCCCGACATGGGTACAATGTGTGAAGCCCATTTCTGGTGTCCCCCGCCGTGATATTGCTGGAATATTGCTAAAAGCGGCGTAAAACCATACTCACTCACTCACTCACCACAAGGTGACTGTGTACAGTTGTCTCCCTTGGCCATGACAGGCTCTGCTGATTCTTATGTCAGATGCCAGATTTGTCCCAGGAATGATTCATGGTCTGTTGGCATCATGTCATGGTTCACCAAAATGGTAGCTCTTCTCCCACATTATACTGACACACTGTATTACATTCTAAGTTCTTTGACTGGCTCATGGTAGGAAGGTTGCTGCCTTCGTGTTCCTCTGTTTGACAAGAACATAGTTACACATGGTACATGTGTTGATGATTGAGATTTTGGGAGATTCCGAAAACAGGGGTATGTATGAGGTTGCCTCATCTTTGCCACCTTCTTTAGTTGTTAAGCTGACTTTTTTTTCTTCTACGATGAAAGACATTTTTTGTAATATATATTCTGTGTTTGCATTCTATGTGAGTTTTGAGTCAATGATGCCAATTACATGCAATGGTAGCGCTAGAAATCGGCACTAGTCCTATAGTCCTTACCGATCTGTCCAATAGTTAAGGTATCATAAGGACTAGTAGAAATTTGCCAATTTTAAGGGTTTTTCTATGTTATCATTGTAAGGACTAGTGGACTATAATTGTTGGGGGGGGGGGGGGACACGGGTGGCCCAGTCGCCAAAGGCGCCGCAATTCGCTGTGCAGAGTTGCGTCCCTTGGCATGCCAGAAACCTATGATTGTGGGTTCGAATCCCGGTTCGCCCCGATTATGTTTCTAGGTTTGTCAGCACCATACCCGTGCTCGTGGGTTTCACCGAAGTGGTTAACGTCTGAGACCTGCATCACTTCCAGCTTTCCTCCCACATTAAGCTGACACGCCGCGATATGACTGGAATACTGTTAAAAGCGGCGTTAAACCCAACTCACTCACTTACTCACTATAACTGTTAGGTTCTACCCCTACAATGGAATCACTTGCAAGGTACTTGTTACATGTTAAAAGGTGTGGCCAACTACACCCCGGTGTACTATGACAAGAATGGAGAGGGTGTGACGGACCTGGCCTTCCACAAGTCCCTGATGAAGGAGGCTTGTGAGCAGAAGCAGCTCCTCACCACCGAGGAGGCCGAGCTGGATGAAACACAAGCTGCTGTACCGGAAGGTGATGACTTCTTTGATTTGGGTAAGCTGAGTTGGAATGTGTAACTTATCACAGCTGAGTAGGCAAGTTGTTAGTGTGGTCACTTACCTTGCATCTTATCCGGCCTTCTTCCTCTTTTGTTGTTGTTTCTCAGCATGGATTTTCAGGCCTATCTATTATATATTTGTTTGTTCCCTTGTTGTGTAATGCGCAATATTCCAGCTATATGGTGGTGGTCTGTAAGTAGTAGTGTCTGGATCAGACAGTACAGTGATTGACGTCATGAGCATCAATCCTTACAGTTGGGATACGATGACATGAAATGAATCAATTCAACAAGCCTGACCAAACGATCTATTCAGTCTTCTCTTAAGGGGGGCACGGATGGCCCAGTCGTCTAAGGCGCCGTGATTCGCTGTGCAGAGTTACGTTGGGCACACCAGAAACCTATGATTGTGGGTTCGAATCCCGGTTCGCCCCGATTATGTTTCTAGGTTTGTCAGCACCATACCTGTGTATCACCGAAGTGGTAAACGTCCAAGACCTGCATCACTTCGGGCTTTCGTCCCATATTAAGCTGACACGCCACGATATATAACTGGAATACTGTTAAAAGCGGCGTTAAACCCGACTCACTCACTCACTCACTCACTTCTCTTCCGTCAAACGTAGGTTCAGGTGGTCAGGTCGTCGGGCTCAGTGACTTGGCTGATTGTGTGTCAGTCCCCGGACATTGTTCATCAACTACTGGTTTATTTTGCCCAGACTTGATTATTTAATGGATGCTGGGATATGTCTGGAATATTGTTGACAGCAGGGTTGAACAACGTTCACTTTCTGATTTTGTCTGAACCACTTGTTTTGTGTTTCATGTGCACACCTTGAACAAATATGGTTGGATTGTAGACATTGACAGCTGGGTATATTGTATCGTCAGCAGATTTTCATAGGATGGGATAAAATCTCCAGCTGAAATACCTCCTAGTCACTCCCAACGGAACATGGGGGTGGTGGGATAGCCTAGTGGTTAAAGCGTTCACTCGTCATGCCAAAGATCTAGGTTTGATTCCCGACATGGGTACAATGTGTGAGGCCCACTTCTGGTGTTCCCTGCCGTGATATTGCTGGAATATTGTTTAAGTGGTGTAAAACCTTACTTACCGTATATCGCTGTGTATAAGGCGACCCCACGTATAAGACGACCCCCCTGTACACGCCTTCAAAATCAACCCAAAATCCTATACTCCGTGTATAAGACGACCTGGAATGAAGCACATCACAAGTGCGCACGCAAACCTTACATATGCAATAAAAATTTGTTTATCTTGCGTTGTTTTTTCTACGATGAATGGTCGCGTGTGTAACTCCAGCACATGTTGCCATTTTGTGTTTACACGGTACAACACCAAATTGGTGCCCGTAAAATAAAATTCATTTATGAAGTAATAACATATAAGAGACAATGGTGAGTAATTTAATCGCCAATTAACTATTTTGTAACTAACTAGGCTTATATTTGCTTCACATTCAGCGTGTTTATTCCACAATCACTTATTCACACTGTCTCCAACAGTTGTTAATACAACTGTAAAAACAGCGGGAATTAATTTCAGCTTCACCGGTTATCACATGTTAGGTCACATGTGCAACATGCAAATGCTTACCAGTACTTCCGGCTCTCTACTCACGGATGTTGATTGTTTTACCGTGTCAGCTGGTTTGACAATCTGCATCGAGGCGAGGGTCATTTCAACTTTATTTGCAGAAACTATTAAACTTTATGCAAGGAACCATGTTTACGTATGGAAATAGTTATTGGAACAGTTATTTAGGACGAAATGCGAAGTTTTATTGTCAAATGCTGGGCTGGCTATCGGACGCCGGTTGACATCGCCAGTGGAAAAAAATGTGAGATCTTCGACTCCGTGTATAAGACTACCCCCCTTCTTAACCCCCTCATTTTAGGTACGAAAAAAACTCGCCTTATACACAGCGATATAGGGTACTGACACACTCCAACGTTCAGTGGCATGGGTGGCCCAGTCGTCTCAAGATGCTGCAATTCACTGTGCAGATTTGTGTCCGTAGGAACAACGGAAACCTATGATTGTGGGTTCGAATACTGGTTCACCCCTGGTTGTATTTGTAGGTTTGTCAGCACCATACCTGTGCTTGTTTGCGACCTTGGGGCGTTCCTCCCACATTACGCTGACATGCCATGACGTAACTGGAATACTGTTAAAAAATGCGTCAAAACCCAACTCACTCACTCACTCGACCCATGAAGATTTCGGGGTAGAATAGGTCTTCAGCAACCCATACTTGCCGTAAAAGGCGACTATGCTTGTCGTAAAAGGCGACTAACAGGATCGGGGGGTCAGGCTCGCTGACTTGGTTGATACATGTAATCGATCCAAATTGTGTGGATCGATGTTCTTGATATTAATCACTGGATTGTCTGGTCCAGACTCGATTATTAACAGACCGCCATCATATAGCTGGAATATTGCTGAGTGCGGCGTTAAACAACGAACCAACCAACCAACCAATCACTCACTACTCAAGGTGCGGATGGTCATGGCTCATGTTTTGTGTGCTGTTTCTCCTCAGATCACGGAAAAGCTATGTTGGATGCTGATGAAGCTGAATTTGAAAAGGAGAATATCTTCATGCAGGTTAGTCTGAAACTGATTCTTGATATGTCGAGCTGATATGATTCGCAATATGGAGAACTCCATCTTACATTTCACTATGTGTTTAATTTATGGAAATTATTATCCAGACATTTAAGGTTGATGTTCTAGCACATATCAAGTAATCAGACTGATTGGATGTGATCTTGTTCTTTGATGTCATTGAGCTTTTTCCTGGTCTCCCTACTCTTGTCTAAGCTGAATATTTATACTCCGATGCTACCATCTGGATTGTTGCTGATTAGTGTCAATGTCACGAAATACCTACTGTCGATTCTGTGTAAAGGCGGGTTATTTAGTTGGATGGTGAGAACCTTGTGACCAAGTCCAGTAAACTTTCCTCTGGTCCAGTAAGATCAGCTGATACTAGTCCTTAAACTAAGACTGAAATCTGCTGAAAATAATGCTAAAATGCAAGGTGACCACAAAACGTTTTGGCACAGACTTATAAAAGAAGAAAGCTGTACCAAAATTTGTTAAAATCTTGAAAATGTCCAAATGACATTCAGGTTTTCAGATCAGTGTGTTTTACGGCTGCTTTTAGTTTGACATTGACTGATCATGCTGATTGTCATCCAAAGGGTCCTGAAGCTATCTTTCAATGGGTAATGATATACTAGAAAATCCTTTAAAAATTTCCTAAAATCATGAAAATACCCAAGCGACATTTGTCTCTAGCAACATGACTGGACTTGGGTCACTTTCAATATCCCTGTCCTGACTTCCCGTCTTGACTTCCCCTTAAAAAACAAACAAGATTCCCTCATTCCCCTATAGCCTAGGTTTCTAATAATAATGTTCTGTTGCCAGGATGATAACATGTCCCAGGCCCAATACCGAGATGTCATCGCTAACTCCACGTCACGCTGGGACAACTTCAGCGCCGACGCCTTCCTGCGCATCTCCATCGGGCAGTATTGGGCCACGCGGACGGAGGTGCTGGGGACTCTTGAGGGGGATCCAAGGCACCCCCGGGTAGGCCCACTCAGTTGGGATCACAACATAAGGTTTCAGTGCTAGTGGTTGATAAAGCAAGGCTTTTCTTATGAAGTTGGTTTACGGATGAAAAAAGTTGGTTTAACGATGAAAAGTAGGATAAGAATTATCTGAAAAGTGCTATTCTGTTACTTCAACCAAATACAAACGTATGTGTTCAAAACGAAATACAACGTGCATACAATGGGTTAATGAGACTAAACAAAGATGACCTAATACAGTTTCAGATGTGGAAGAACATCTATCTGCTGAACAGGATTTTTCACATAATAAATTGGAAAGAATATGTGTGGCCAAAGGAATTTTGTATAGAGAAATGCAAAACATTTCTCCAGCTTGATGATGGTGTAAGAATCTACATCGTAATGTCGGTTTATGCAATAATCCAGAAGTTGATATCCATAAAGTTGTTTTAAAAAGTTAAAAATTTTATAACTATTCAAAGTTATCCAAATCAGTGCCACAAGATTGTTGATGAAATGCCATATCTGTCAAAGCTTACACAAATATTGGTCTATAACTCCATGATGATATCACCACTGATTCTCCTCTTGTACGCAGCCTGAGTTTGGGATGTTGGTGAAGACCCCACCTGGTAACCGCCGACCTGTAGCCCTGATCGACACCTCCCCCACCCCGAGTCAGCCCTCAGACATGAGAACAGCTGGTGTGGGGAATGAAGATGAAGGTAGGCCTCACTCACTCACTCACTCACTCACTCACTCACTCACTCACTCACTCACTCACTCACTCACTCACTCATCCACTCACCCACCTCATACACTTTCTCCACTCACTCACTCACTTGGCCTCTCTCGGTCTCACTCACTCACTCTGACACTCTATCTCACTCACTCTGACACTCTATCTCACTCACTCTGACACTCTATCTCACTCACTCTTTCACTCTATCTCACTCACTCACTCTGTCTCTCTCTCTCACTCACTCACCCACCTCACCCTCCTCAACACTCACTCTTTCACTCTACCACCGCACCCACTCACTCACTCACTCACTCACTCACTCACTCACTCACTTGGTCTCTCGGTCTCTCTCACTCACTCTCACACTCACTCACTCGGTCTCTCTCTCTCTCACTCACTCACCCTCCTCAACCACTCACACAAACTCCCCTCCCACCTCTTTCACTCACTCACTCACTCACCTTGCCCACCTCTCCCATGTCACTCCCCTCACTCCCCTCACTCACACTCGGGGCGGTCGGGTAGCCTAGTGGTTAAAGCGTTAGCTCGTCAGGCCGAAGACCCGGGTTCGATTCCCGACATCGGTACAATGTGTGAAGCCCATTTCTGGTGTCCCCCGCCGTGATATTGCTGGAATATTGCTGGAATATTGCTAAAAGCGGCGTAAAACCTCACTCACTCACTCACTCACACTGCTTGACACTAACACTGGTCCACTGGTCCGAGTCTAGTATATTTTCTTTAGGACCAGTAAAATTAAATAAATGATGGTCCGGTGGTCTAGTGTTATTTTGGGGACGAACAAGGTAATTTAAGTTTGTACGACTTTTGAAATCAGCGATAGAGTCTAAACTCAGTTACTTCTAGCACCATTGTGTCAAGTAGAGATCCGACAGGACAGTAGATGTCTTTTGTGCTGGTCCTTTGGACCACTGACAAATCTTGGTCAGTGCCAAGCGCTATATATCCAGTAGCATTATCTCTTGAATGAATTTCGCTGTGAAGAGTTGCGTCCCTTGGGCACGCCAGAAACCTATGATTGTGGGTTCGAATCCCAGTTCACCCCGATTATATTTCTAGGTTTGTCAGCACCATACCTGTGCTCGTGGGTTTCACCAAAGTGGTAAATGTCTGAGATCTGCATCACTTCGGGCTTTCCTCCCACATTAAGCTGACAGGCCGTGATATAACTGGAATACTGATAAAAGCGGCGTTAAACTCAACTCACTCACTCACTCACTCACTCTTGAATGAATTTGAATCCCATTGAGAGTCTGCTTTTCTTTACAGGAGAGAAAACAATACTCGGTGAGAGAGACAGTACATTCACAATTGACGAGATGACCACACCAAAACCTTCAAGTGCTAGCTCTTCTCCTATACGTCAGCAGCCGAAACAGCTGATCCCAACAGAGGGTAATCAACACATGGGTAGTGACCGTCTGTCAGGGTCAAGCGGTCAGTCGTCCAGGGACAGCGACCACAGCATCACGGACAACAGTGCCTTATTGACGGTCAGCGCCATTGATAGCTTCATCAACAAGGTGAATGCTCAGTCCAATCCTGGCGACCTGGTCAGCACCATTATGCAGATGTCCAACAAGAACAGACTGAAAACCAAGGAGTCCAGGCCTGTGGACATGTTGGAGAAGAGGGTCGAGGAAGAGAGGATGGAGAAGAGGGCTGTGGAACAGGACATATTTGTGGAGAAGAAACAGGTTGGTGTTGGGTGATGCTGCAAGTATATATGATTGATGATTCATTTGAATTTTCGGATAAGATTTAACTATTGTTCATTTGTTTTACTTAGAATTGTTTTGCTTAAACATTTGTGTGACCTATAACTTGAAAACTACTTCATGGATTCTTTTCATGTTTAAGGAACACTTTCTATACTAATAGGAGATGGTCAGTGCAAAGTTTTTTTTATATGTGTATTTTTATATTTTTATATGTGTATTTTGTTTTTAAAATATGTTGGGTTTTTTCATGTTTTGATCTTAGATTTTTTACTTCAACATATGTGCAATAAATTGATAACTATTTTGTGGATTCTTTTCTAACTGGGGGTACAGTTTCTATACCAATAGGAGAGGTGCATCGCAAAGCTTGATTTCGATAAATGGATTTTCATGTTTTTAATATTTTGGAGTCGAAGTTGGGGGAATTAGTAAGCCCTACTCACTTTTTGCCTTGTTATTTCAGGTTTCTATGATAAGGATCGCCAATCATTTAGGATGTATCTGTGCTGTTTTATATGTCTATCAATCTTTGCTTGTGTTTGCAGGAATTTTCTGCTCCAACAAACAGACCTGAATCCCAACCATTTGAGAAACCTAGTCCCCCAAGAAAGCCATTGCGGGGTTCCCGCCTCCCTATACGCAAGGGTTCCTTGGCATCTATGTACGAGAAAGCATGGAAAGATCGACAGAATGCAGAAAAAGATGACAAGCCAAACAACGAAAGCAAAGTTGTACGGAGGAGATCGGACACGGTGAGAAGACCCAAGTCAGAGAGTGCTGATCAAAAAGACAATGAATTCCGAAGGGACAAGCATGTCATGCAGGTTAAAAAGGCCGAGTCAGCAGGAATGAGAAAATGCAAATCTAGCTCTGTATTGGAGAAACCAGTTCAAGCGAACACTGATTTGACTGTCAAAAGTGCTAAAGATTTGCAAAAGATGATGTCGACAGGTGTTCGAACAAATAACCAATCTATGAGCAAGCCAGAGCCGATGAAAACAGTGTGTATTAAGCCGGGGAGTGAGAAGGTCGATAAAGTGAAGACAGTGACGCCGGAGAAAGGGTTGAATAGTTCAACTAATGAGATAGATGAGAACAACGACAGTTTTCAGAATGAGTGGGCGTCACCTCGTCCGAGCTTGGGAGGTGATTTTTTGGAAGAACATTTGAAATTCCAGAAAAAAGGAAATGCGCAACAAAATTTACTGACTTCGTTCAATAATGAATTCAAAACAGGCGAAAAGGAAAATATGTCTGATCTGTCGAAAATAAGACAATCTGAAAAATCAGAAAATCTAGATCACAATGTTGACATTTCTGGGTTAAGAAATGCTATTATGAATGAGAGGAGGAAAGACAGAGAGTGTAGTAATCAGAGTGTGGACAGAGGCAAAGTAGTCCCTGGTCAGCAGCGGTCAAAGCAAATGATCAACAAATGCCCTATGACCCCACCTGTCCGACAAAAACCGGAAGCTCATTTTCGAAAAGAAAATATTCCAGGCTATGATAATCGACGCTCAAATGCATTTCCTGCTCAAATTCATCAGGATCATGTGAGTGTTAATTCTGGACAAAATGACATGGATGTCAACTTGTCTCAATCATCGAGCAACTGTGTTTCTAGTTATGATAAGGATGGATACTATGCTGGACAAAAAGCTGCGACTTACACCCCGAATGTGCCCCACGGTGGTAAGCCAGACTCTGGTTACAATGTGTCCACTGTTCATCATGTGCCGGACGGTACTGACTACAGTGCTGTGTCCAACTACCTCAGTGCCGACAAGAAACTGTCCCGGGACGAGATGGTAGGGACGTCCGATATTCAGCTGGCTGAATCTCGCGGGTTTAATGTGATCAGAGACCAGGAAATGACCCGGAATGTACCCATGACTGGCAGCAACTCCTACTCAAACAACGATCTTTCAAAATATTCGGATGGTGTTGGTGCTAAGATGACCTGTGACAGAAGTTATGTGTCCAATCAGTCGATCTCGAAAGTTACTTCATTTCATCCTGATTCTTTGGATAAAGGTCTTTCAAGTCATCCTCAACAGATGACGGTAGGTCACATGCAAAGACTGCAGGGGAACAATGGTGAAAGACAGGCTCCCTTCACTGATGGTTCTCACTCTGGTTTCAAACCATCCATGCCGCCACCAGAGAAAGTGCCATTTAAGAAGCCTACACTTCTCACTGGGCAGTCGTTGATGAAGACTGAGTTTGCACAGAAGCATCTTGGCAAGGAGAACCAGGTTGACAATCGGCATCTGGATGACATCAGCTTCATGACAGACGACACCGCTGCTCGTAGTTTCCTGGAGCTGGAACCTCAGAACTTGTCGACAATGAGTCACATGTATGGGTCTGAACTGCCGAGCTTCTTCAACCAGATGCCGGTGTATCACAGCACACCCTTTCATGACAACATGCCGGTGTATCTCGAGACCAACACCAATGTGACCCCAGCCAACATGAACTCCATCTCATCTACAGGTCAGAGGAATTTCAGAACAGCTGACAGTTCGCTAGGCTCCAGGCTGGGGAATCAGAGTGGTGAGGTGGTGGCAGTGTGTTTCTCTAAATCTGTCCTGGGTACCAAACTTCCCGTGAAGATCCGGGTTAGAATAGGCCTTCACCAACCCATACTTGCCGTAAAAGGCGACTGTGTTTGTTGTAAGAGGTGACTGACAGGATTGAGGGTAAGGCTCGCTGACTTGGTTGATGCATGTCATCGTATCCCAATTGCGTAGATTGATGCTCATGATGTCAATCATTGGATTGTCTGGTCCAGACTTGATTATTTACAGACCGCCATCATATAGCTGGAAAATTGATGAGTGTGGCGTTAAGCAACCAACAAACAAACATACTGGGTAACAAACGATCTTTGTTGTAAACAGATAAGTGTGGTGTTTTAGTTTTGCACAGACTGGATAATATAAATTGGAGTTTGTTCTTGGAATTAACTATGATTCTGAGTTCATAACCAGTAGCTCCAAGTGATAGAACACAAAGTCACAGGATCACTACCATTGCTTCTTAAGTTTCTGTTTACCATGTAATTATTGAGAAGGTATACAGTCTGTGCCAAATATGTCCGAACTTTGCTCTCGGCAATATTTTCACTAGAATTATTATTATATGGTCTGTTATCATGAACTTATGAGACCAAAGATAATTTTGCAAGTCTGGGGTTGGGGCTAGTGGATAAAGTTGCAGACTGATGTATGCAACATAGAGGAGATGTCATGGCTTCTATTTGCGTTGGCATGATATAGGCATTGCATCTGGCTCAGCGTGTTATTGAAAGTCCCTTGTGTCTCTGTGTACATGCATTAGTGACAGTGAGGTGGCATGGGTGGCCCCGTCGTGTATGCACCACAAGTTGCTGTGCAGAATAGCCTCACTTGGGCAGTCTAGAAATCTATGACCATGGGTTCAAATCTTGGTTTTGTTTCTAGGTTTGTCAGCACCACACTTGTGCTCGTGGGTTTCACCGAAGTGGTAAATGTCTAAGACCTGCATCACTTCGGGCTTTCCTCCCACATTAAGCTGACACGCCGCAATATAACTGGAATACTGTTAAAAGTGGCGTCAAACCTAACTCACTCACTCACTCACTCAAATCTTGGTTCCCCTGATTATGTTTCTAGGTTTGTCAGCACCATACCTGTGCTTGTGGGTTTCACCAAAGTGGTAAATAACTGAGGCCTACGGCACCTTGAGCTTTCCATCCCACATTGAGCTGACACGTCGTGATATAACTAAAATATTGTTTAAAGCGGCGTTAAACCAAACTTACTCCCTCACTAATGATTTCAAAAAGTTGAAAAAAGAGACAAATATTCATCAGTTACCATGGTTATGTAGATGCTGAAGAATGATTAATTTCCAAGTTCATGACAGCATGTAAGAATTGAGGAATTATGTCATTGTTTTATTGGCCAGAATATGTATGTCATCACTGTTGTCTTGTCTCAACAGATGGTTCTCTACAATGCACTATGATGACCCCTCGCATGTCCCGAACGTGCATAGAGGCGCCAAGCATAGTGACATTCCCTGACCCCTGCTGTGTGGGGATCTCCGTGGAGACGACCTTGCCCTTGAAGAACCCAACCCCACGTTGGCTACAGTGTGTCATCTTTGTGAAGGAGCTGAGTTTGAATGGCCGAGGAGTAGACCCAGAGACTCACTGTCCTTTCAAGATGAAAAATAAGCTCACCATTGAACCAGACTCGACAGAAAACATTCCGGTAGGTTTTTCTTGGTAGTTTGCGATTATGAAGTTGTGTTGTTAGAGCTTTTTTGTTGGCAGTTTCAAACCACATGAAGTATTTTTGTTGACGTTTCTATATTTTTTAATTTCTTCAATGTTGCAATTTCCTTTTAACTCATCATGTTCTTGTTGTAAGCTTATTTAGATTTGTCTGTAGCAAACTGATGCTTTTTTCAATGAAATAATGTATTAAAATGTTTACTAAATGTATACTGGCCCGTGAAGATCCGGGATGGAATAGGTCTTCAGCAACCCATGCTTGCCATAAAAGGCGACTATGCTTGTCGGAAAAGGCGACTTACGGGATCGGGTAGTCAGGCTCGCTGACTTGGTTGATGCATGTCATAGATCTCAATTGCATGGATTGATGCTCATGTTGTCAATCATTGGATTGCCTGGTCCAGACTCGATTATTTACAGACAGTCGTCATATAGCTGGAATATTGCTAAGTGCTGCGTTAAACAACAAACAAACAAACAAACAAACAAACTAAATGTATACTAAATGTCCCTCAATAGATCATTCCATTGAAAGTTTTTTTTATTAAATACCTGATACAAAATTGAAGAAACCTGGGGCAGGGGGAATTCTGTTTTAGAATTGGTCCCCATCATAAAGTTTGTGAGGTAACTTAATAATGGGTCAGGTTGAGTGACTTGGGTGATAGTATGTCATTGATTCCGTATGATTCCGTGGTTTATTACCCGTAATATCAGTCACCGGATTGTCTGGTCCATATTTGATCATGTACAGTCCGCAATCATATAGCTGGAATATTGTTGAGTGTGGTGTTAAACAACAAACAAGCAAACAAATAAAGTTGATCTGATTCATGCATACGTATTGCAGATGATACATATGATCGGCATCTGTTAGGTCATGTTCACAGATAGTCCTAATGGTAATAGTTAGATCAGTATTGATGTGGACTCCCAAGATTTGAGATTTTATCTATACCTTGATATGTGAATATCGGAACTAGGAGTGAGTGAGTAAGTGAGTGAGTGAGTGAGTTGGGTTTAGCACAGTTTAACAGTATTCCATTTATGTGGCAGTGTGGCAGCTTAATGTGGGAGGAAAGCCGATGTTATGCAGGTCTCAGGCGTCTACCACTTTAGTGAAACCCATGAGCACAGGCATGGTGCTGACAAACCTAGAAACATAATTGGGGGAATTGCAAGTCAAAACGATAATCATACTTTTCACAGCAAATTGCAGCTCCTTAGACAACTGGACCACCTGTGCCCCCCCTCGAAACTAGGGGGAATAATGATAGTGATTATCTGTAACTTGACTGTAGGTGATGTTTCTGCCCAAGTCCCCGGGAGCGTACGTAGCTCAGGTAGAGGTTTTCTCTCAACCGTTCCTGCGAGATGGGAACATGATCCCAGATGGTCTCCCGGCCACAGTCACGCTCCAGGCCATCTCCGAACGGCCGATGATCCAGATTGTTACTGAGGAAGACAGTGCCATTAACTTCGGCGTGATGACATGGGGGAAGAGTAAGGCCTCCTCGCTGAGTCTGCGTAATGTTGGCAAGTCCATGGTGCCCCTTCGGCTGGCCATCACTGCGGTAAGTGTTGGATCTTTTCCATTCAGTGTGCTATCAACATTGATTATAACTATGTTAACATGAATTGGGAAATCGTTAATTCCAGTTTGAAATTTTTACTGCCTTTTGCTGCAGATTTGGGCCCAATTATTGGCCTCTCAGTGGGCCTAGATAAACTCCAGATATTTTGTTTTGATCCCCGACCGCGTCATACCAAAAGACGTTAAAAGATGGTACTTGTTGTTACCCTGTCTGGCACTCGGCATTAAGGGGCTAAAACAAGGACTGGTCGGCTCGGAGTCAGTATACTGTGTCTGAGTGGGGTATTTATGTTAAACTGCGGCATGGTATCTCAGTGAGCTAGCACTATAAATCGGCATCAGTCCGGGCTAGTACAAGCAACCACACAAACACACACACATACATGCACGTCGCTATATAAGTGCAATAATCTTGGACGCGACGTTAAACCCCATTTCACCTCACCTCCCCTCAATAATTGACCATTCATGAGGGCAGCATGTTTTATGGGCCCAAGAAACTGATATCGACCGAAACCAGCTGTAGAGGTCAATATCAGTGTCTTGGGTGCATGGAACATGATATTGCCCGAATTATAGTTGATAATTGTTTTATAACATAATGTGAAAAACAACAGTGTTTTAATGTGAGATTTTAATAACCATCAGATTCAACAAAAATTGAATCACACCCAGTGTCGGAGAAAGTAACTGGAGATGCTGTTTCACAACAAGCCTTACATTACACTCTAGCTGATTGGCTAAAAATATTTCTCTCCTTTAGTCCATTGGCTTAAAGAGCAAGTAAACTGAAACAAAAGATTGCGATTTTGTTTTCAATATCAATTTTCCTGAACACATTCAGTCAATTTCCAAAAGAGAAAAATTCATAATATTTTTAGAAAGTATTTAAATGTCCAAGTGAAAGTCCGTGATCAGCTTCAAAACAAACCCATTTTGGGGTCGTGGCCTAAAACCACTGGTGCAGCGGTGACGACTGTTTTCATTTACTGATATGTTTGCTGCATTACTGCCTGTCAGGGATTAATCCCTTGAGTAGACAACTAAAGGCATCTTCAGAGTTATTACTAATAAGGTTTTAAGTGAAATAAGTTGTGGTAATCAAATGGATGAGCTGACAGAGAAAAAACGTAAAGTATTCACAATTTCGAGACAGAAGTAGGCAGTCTGAATGTCGGCCTGATCATCATGATCTTGGAAATTGAGCAGCTTGTCAAACACTGGGAACCTGTTGTAGATTCAGTGAGGGGTTTTAAGCTATTTCCATTTGTCAAATTTAATTAAGGTCAAGCATTTGTGATGACGTATGCCCCAAAGTATTAAAATCTGCAAAGTTGCTATGTTGAGTTTACTTGCCTTTTAATCACATAGGACAATACCATTTTTGATCATTGCACAGTAGGGCGGGTCTCAGGACAATACCGGGTTTTAACAAATATCATATGACCCTTTCTCACCCAATGAAAATTCAAATATAATTTGTCGTAAAAGGCGACTAACGGGATCGGTTGGTCAGGCTCGCTGACTTGGTTGATGCATGTCATCGATCCCAAGTGCGTGGATCGATGCTCATGATATTAATCACTGGAATATCTGGTCCAGACTCGTTTATTAACAGACCGCCGTCATATAGCTGGAATATTGCTGAGTGCGGCGTTTAACAGCAAACCAACCAACCAACCAACTATGCATACGACAAAAGCTGACGTTTAACTGGAGTAAAGTGTAAAACCATGCTGACGTGATTGACCTCATGCTACATGTGTTACTTTCAGAGCAAGTCATGGCACTGCTTCATGTTTGACAAGTCTCAGACGGGAGATGTCTCCCTCATCTCTAAGAGCAACAGACCCCCATCCCCAGCGCTAGGGAAAGGCGTGGTAAACATCTCGCTCAAGGGCTACGGCGAGAGTGGCTCCTCCATGTCATCTGAGGACATCAAAATATACTGCAGACCACCGGAAAAACAATCTCATTCAGGTAGTTCATCAGTATTGTCAGTAATGTCCAAAGTAAGTGAAGGGGAGAGACATATTCTGGACCCATCTTGTTAAGGATGAAGGTATTTGTGATATGACAACTTTCATTGGCATGTCAGAGTCAAGCCTGAGGTCCAATTATCCATAAACCTGTTATATCCTATCTGAATCCCCCTCACTCAGAATGTTTCACTAAAGTGTACACTGTGGTTATTCCGCTTAATCTCTTTATGACGTATGATGTTTGCTGAATCACCCAGAGTTAGGATGTTCCAAAGTCCCCCAGATTGACGATATTCTGCTGAATCTCCCAGACTTTAGGGTGTTCTGCTGACTCCCCCAGACTGTTGATATTCTGCTGAATACCCAGACTTAGGTTCTGCTGACCTCCCCAGACTGATGATATTCCGCTGACTCCCCCAGACTGATGATATTCTGCTGAATCCCCCAGACTGATGATATTCTACTGACTTCCCCAGACTTTAAGATGTTCCGCTGACTCCCCCAGACTGATGATATTCTGAATACCCAGACTAAGGTTCTGCTGAGTTCTCCAGACTTTAAGATGTTCCGCTGACTCCCCCAGACTGATGATATTCTGAATACCCAGACTAAGGTTCTGCTGAGTTCTCCAGACTTTAAGATGTTCTGCTGACTCCCCCAGACTGATGATATTCTGCTGACTCCCCCAGACTGATGATATTCTGAATACCCAGACTAAGGCTCTGCTGAGTTCTCCAGTTTTAGGCAGTTCCTTCTTTGTTTCAGTGCTGGCCCAGTACCCCCCAGATGAGATCGAGGCCCGTATTGATATCGAGGTGGACACGCCCATCCCCAGCCTGCCCCCGGTTGCCTCCATCAGACTGCAGGCAACCATCGGAGTGCTCCGACTGCACACACCCAGGAACATGGAGGTACGTGGAGTGCATCATATATGTTGGGCTCTGTAGTTAACCTGGTCAGGTTACAGTATAAAATAAGAACATGAATTAATGAAGCCTTTGTAAACGTGTAAAAAGTACTTAATAAAAGAAACATATCTTTTGGAAATCTGGAGTCACTTTTGCATTTGACTAAGGTTGATGTTCATGGCTGGTGGGTATTGAAACACACAGCCTTCAAATTGTGGGTGTTAACTTGTTTTGAGTCGTATATTTTGTTGTCATCTTGATTTTTTTTTTTTTTTTCAATGATTGAAAGGTATGAGGATCTATACCAAAACTTCGCTGCCACAGTATAATAATTATGTTATCCAGAGTTGTTTTGTCTACTTTGTCATCCGTCAACTTCTTAGAAATGCCTATCAAACAACACAGTGGTGTGTTTGTTAAACCATTTCCATCCAGAGTTCATACTTGCAGTAGCCTCAGGTTAATTTTCAGTATGGTTTTCAAAGAAAATTTGGAAATATAAGGATCTATACCAAATTTGCTTTTACTGTATACTAAAGAAGTTGTGTCCCTCATTTCTTTGTCTACTTTGACCCTGCTGTATGTTGCAGACAATCCACCTGAAGTGTCAGGCAGGGAAGAGTGCCCAGGAGACCATCAAGCTGAAGAACTCGGGCAACATCAAGATGGAGGTGCAGCTGTCCGTGCCGCAGTTCACCGACGTGTTCCGCATCACGCCCGAGAAGCTCATCATCGCCCCAGGCAGCTACTCCTCCGTCACGGTCGCCTTCCACCCCCGACTGGACAAGGATGTGAAGAAATATGACACGTATGTTGAGGGAGTTGATTGTGTTTAGGCAGTGGCAGAACTCAAGGTGAACTGTGCCCTAACTGAAGTTGTGGTCGGCTTGTCACAGTAGGTCGTGTTTCATTGATCCTGGCTTCCCCTGGTTCATGAGATAGAAAATACTTTTTCTAAGGACAACCCATTATTTGGTTGAGAAATACATATGGGTGTAATTTGTGTCCTGGTATTAGTCATTACTGAGTAAAACTTCTGTGTTATTCATTGTACAGCTTTGTCACTTCAAGTTTTGACGGGGACACGGGTGGCCCAGTCGTCTAAGGCGCTGCGATTCGCTGTGTACAGTTGCGTCCCTTGGCACGCCAGAAACCTATGATTGTGGGTTCGAATCCCGGTTCGCCCCGATTATGTTTCTAGGTTTGTCAGCACCATGCCTGTGCTTGTGGGTTTCACCGAAGTGGTAAAGGTCTGAGACCTGCATCACATCGGGCTTTCCTCCCACATAAAGCTGACACGTTGTGATATAACTGGAAAGCGGCGTTAAAACCAACCAACTCACTCACTCACTCAAATCTTGGTTCCCCTGATTAAGTTTCTAGTTTTGACAACGGTTAATGGAATTTGAAACTGAACTCTTGAACTAACAAGGTGGTTTTATCAGATGTATGTTAATGTAATTTGAAACCTCTGATTGTCCAGGCTGTGTTAACCTGATCATGATTGCTGTGTCTATCAGTTTTCCGTTTTCCGTTTTGTTTTCTTTGAATTTGATAAACTTTTCTGGATTCATTGAATACACATTAATTACAGAAGTAGATTCTCAGTCCTTTGTTTTATGGCCCTATGTTATGATACTTCATGGATTTTGCCCAAACCTGAAATGGGTGAACCCATGGTGACATGTGGATGTCTTTTGCAGCATCTTCGTGATGTACCTGCTGCAGGACGGTACGATGTACGAGTTGGTGCTGAAGGGTGAGGTCCAGCCCACGCCTCGCGGCCCCTTCCTGCTCAGTGACAAGTCCTACCTGGCGTTTGGAGGGGTGGCCATCGGCAGGGCAAAGTGAGTGGATGGATACTTTGGTTACTTGTGTGCAACTTTCAGCGACATCTTTGTTGTGATGGAGGATTTTTTTCAAATGTCAAACCAAGCTTCCGGGATAGTTACTTCATTTGTGCCCGAACTGTTGCAGTTTACAGGAGTGTTGGGGTAACTTGTGGTTAAACCTTTGTATCATCATGAGTGTGTGTCTAGCAGTTTCTTGGTTTTGTATGTCATGCTAATGCTAAAAGCAGCCTAATACCAACTGCCAACTATACTACTCAAAAGAAGTTAAGGATCACCTGATTCTTTCATAATGGTAAAGTAAATCTGTCATGACATGAGAGATTAACTATAGTAATATGAAAGAATCAGGTGATCCTCAACTTCTTTTGAGTAGTATAATTCTGAGTGGCATAGAGCTTTGGGCTTTGAGCTAGATTTGGGCTTCGTCAATGACAAATGTTGTTAAAAGGAATCTTAGGCAAATCTAATCATGTATGTAGCTAGGTTATCAAGTTTATGTTTATTCATAATCAATATCATCAACTCATCTTTGTCGCCTCCAGGCAACAGAAGGTCACCATCCTCAACAATGCGCCCCAGTCACTGAAGCTTAGTGTCGACGTCCGATCTGACACCAACTGCTTCCAGGTTTGACATCCTCCGCATCAAAACATAAAACTAAATATGAACTTAATACACTGGTGTCATGACACTCTTATCATTATCTTATTTTGTGTGTGTGTGAGTGCGTGTTTGTGTCTGTGTCTGTAAGTGCATGCTTGCATGCTTGTGTCTGTGTGTGTCTATGGGTATCCATGCCACTGATTATAATTATGATTAGTTTTGTCAGCACCTTAGAGATGCCTTTGGTTTCACCAAAGTTGTAAATATCTTTGACCTGTTTCACTTCACTTTCTCCCAACATCAAACTGACACAGTGTGGTTTAACTGAAATAGTTTTGAAATGGGACAGAATGTAACTCACTCACTCACTCACTCACTCACTCACTCTCAATCTAGCTGCAGAGTTCTCTGAGTCGAGCCGATGAGAAGATCCGGCGCCGTGACATCATCATCCAGCCACAAGAGAAGTTCCCCATCTACATGCTGTATGCACCTGATTCGGTTGCTCCCAACACTGGCAAACTCGTCATCAAACCATATGATCTTGGAACCAAATTTTCTGTAAGATTTGATACAAGGTCACTATGAGCTCAGGGAATTCGTGGGGGGTTGACATGGGCATGGTGACATGGGCATGGTGACATGAAAATGGGTGTTCCAAGGAAAGAGGGGTTGTGAGAGGCGACGAGATGAATCCGATGGACTCAGTGACGAGGTTGTGGCATGTCAGCTTACCCTGACAGCATGGGGTGTTGCTCACAATATCAATCACTGGTTTGTCTGGTTCCGACTTGATTTATGTGTTTGTACATGTTGTAGAAAGTCCCTTCTTTGAAGAATGTGTTACATTGACATTGATTTACCTGGGTTGTTTATTATGGGGGTCCAGGAGTCTCAATGCCTTTAATTGTAGGGGTCCCAAACAAGAAGAAAAATACCCAAAATTGAGTTCAGTACTCTACCACACGTGACGTAAGATTACCCACGCTAAAAGGCTGTTAATTAAAAGGAGATATCCCAACAAATATACAGATCATGAAGAATTTGACTGTTTTGTTTTTCTAAAATGATTATGAACAGAAATTGATTTTAACTGGTTCCAAATTGTGTAATAGCAGCATTCATTCCTAAACTTGCAGACAATGTTTTGCATCCCACTGGATCTGTGCTTTATTACATTAAGTAATACGTTACCACTGTTATACCGAGGCTGTTGTCTCCCACAACTGCTGCTATAGCGAAATCTACCACAGAGATCTCAATTACCTCATGCAGCACGTGCGTAGCCACCTAGCTGCCATGTGACACCCTTCACTCTTGTCTCCTTCGTCTGCTTAGCAAGACGTGTTTTCTCCTGCTGAAGCGTTCCTTGAAGATTTGGTGATATTTATTATCGTTTATTCTCTAATAAACTGTGCTTTTATGGGGCGTTGCGGTAGCTACGCTTGGTTATAATTTTCCCGCCAAACGGAAAATTTTTCCCGCCCTTTTTTCTATATACTTGCGGGGTTCGCGTATGCACGTTGTGTTTTACGTTTCCCCTGTTCTTGTATGTTTTGGGGGTTAACATAACTTATTTCTTTAGTAAAAGTTATATGTGTATGTTATATGTTCACATTGCTCGTTTATTTTCTTGTGAAAATGTTCGTTTGTGAATCATTGTGGTGCGTGCGTTGTAACCATGTTTTGTTCTTTGTTTCTAGAAAACAATCAATGTCTGACATGGATATGTCCCCTGTCTCCACCCCCTCTACCCCTGCTCCTCGGAGTTGTGGGGTGTGCAGAAAGTTTTTGTCGTCCCGGGATCCCCACGATCGTTGCCCGCGGTGCAGGGTTCCTTGCGAGGAAACCCGGTGCACCCTGTGCGAAGGTCTGGGACCTGCGGAGTTTGAGCGGTACCGGCTGTGCGCGCAGTCCGTTTCCACCCCTGTGGTGGCCGGTTCGTCCGGTCGGGGCCCCCGTGCGGGCACCTCCTTGTCGGCTGCGGCGGATCCCCTTGCGGCCCTCGGGCTGTCTGGGGCTTCCGTCGCCGCATTGTTGTCGCAAATTGTGGACTCCAAGCTGGCGGCCTTATCGCAAGATAGGCCGCTGGCTGTTCCGTCCCCGGCCTCTTCGATGGCCGCGGGTTCGGACGCGGGGTCCACCGGTACGGCGCCGGCTGCCGTGGTTACCGGTCCTTCCCCCGAACCGTTGCTTCCGCTATCGGTTAAGGACCGCGTGGCCATGGTGTATGACCTCTTCGAGGACATGCCAAAGCCCCTGCCGATACCGCGGGGTATCCACGGTTCCGTGGGTTCCTCCGAGGTATACGACGAGTCGTCCGACAAGGCTTTCCCGGCATCAACCTTGCTGCGCGGGATTAAGCCGTCTTTGGAGAAAGCCTTCACGGCTGCCTCCGGTCGGGGTCTCCCGTTACCTCCCCCGTCGTGGAGAAAAGGGTCTTTCCCAGTTCATGACCTTGCCTTTCCCGAGGCTGGTCCTTCTGCGGAAGCCCATGTGGAGCGTTTGGGGGTCCGTGCCCCACCGGTTGCCACGGTACCGCAAGGTACCCTGCAACAGCTGGACACCCTCGCTCGACACTCCATGCTGGCTATGTCTCACGGAGACACATACCTGGCTGCGGCGGCCAGTCTGGTCGAAGGTTCTCCCACGGACCGTGACCAGCGCATTTACAACTGCTTGCTCGGTTTGAATGCTTCCCTGGAGTACGTTGCCGGGGCTTCGGCCTTTGTTTCCGGCACGTGCCATTTTCTTCGGCGCCAGTCGTATCTGGTTGCTTCAGGGTCGGACGCTGCCAATCAGGAGGTGCTCCTTTCGCAGGCTTGGTCTGCTCGGACCCTGTTTAATAACAAGATCCCTGGGGTTCTGAAGGAACAACAGGCCGCTGTGTCTGCCGAGGCCTCTCGGCACACACTGGATCTTGTGGGGTCCTTGCATAGGCGCCTGGGTGCCGCTCCGAAGCGGAGTGCGCCCCAGGTTGCTGCGTCCGGCAGGCCTAAGGGGTCGGGTCCTTCTTCCTCCGGGAAGAAGCCCCGCTCTGAGGGCTCGGGTAAGGGTTCTCAGCAGCCCTTTCGCGGGAAGAAGGGGAACTGGGGGAAGCCCAAGTCGTCTAAGGACGGCAAGGGCCCCTCCAGGTGACTCTCATTGGAGGGGTTCGTATGCCGACAGCGCCAACTTCGGTTGGCCCGTAGGCGAACCCGAGTCACACGGCCCTGGACAGTTGCGCCTGCCGCAGCCCGTCCGGCCCCCCTCTCTTTCCCCAGTGGGAGCCAGACTCCAGACTTACTGGGAGAATTGGGAACAAGTGTTCGACGACCCGTGGGTGGTCAACACGATTCGGTACGGCTATCGGCTCGATCTCAAAGCGAATCCGCCGCTCACCGTTGCCCCGTCGGCAGGTTTCTATTCGGAAACCGATCTTCCCTTCCTCGCCGATGCCATCGGCAGGTTGGTGGAGAAGAGGGCAGTTCGGGAGTTAGCTCTACCAGAAATAACACCGGGGTTTTACTCCAGGATATTTCTCGTTCCCAAGAAGGACAGTGCCGAACTCAGAATGATTCACAACTTGAAATCGTTCAACGAGTTCTACCTGCGCAAGCCGCCCAAGTTCAGAATGTTGAGCTTGACGGACCTGAAAGCACTGATCATGCCGGCCGACTGGCTAGCTTCGATCGACCTGAAGGATGCTTATCTGCATGTTCCGATTCACTCGGATCATCACAGGTATCTCAGGTTTGTCTTTCAAGGCAGGCACTACGAGTGGGTTGTACTCCCATTCGGTCTTTCGTCCGCTCCCTGGCTGTTCACCCGGTTAACCACCCCCATAGTGGGGTTCCTCCACCGGAGGGGTGTCCGGTACTTCGCGTACCTGGACGACTCGCTAGTAGCAAATCGAATGTCGGACACCCTGTCACGCCATCTCGTTTTCGCACGTCGGCTCTTGGAGCAATTGGGGTGGATTGTCAATCTCCCCAAGAGCGAGTTAACCCCTTCTCAGAACTTGCAGTTCATCGGAGGTCGGTTCAACACGGTGTCCCATCGCCTATTTGTCCCCCCAGACCGGTGGCACAAAATTCAGGCGATGATTGCCAAAGTCTTAGCGGTGCAACAGACTGTTCACTTTTGGGAACAGCTGTTAGGGCTACTTGTATCAGCCCAGGACTGCACCATACGGGGTCGTCTCCAACTCCGCCCGCTGCAACGGTTTTTAATCCAGTTGTTAGCAACGGAGGTGAACAGTGCGACCGTCGCCCTCCCGGATCGGCTCCGACCGCATCTGGAGTGGTGGACGGTCCCTTACAATGTCTTATCAGGAGTCTCTATGCGGCCCTACCGGGCCACGTTGAACCTGTATACAGACGCCTCTCTAGTGGGCTGGGGCGCCCATCTAGAGGGGGAGGTGAGCTCGGGGCTGTGGTGCGTAGACGAACTAGGTCTTCACATCAATTGTCTCGAGTTCAAGGCAGTGATCAACGCAGTCAATCACTGGAAGCATCGTCTCGTCGACGCCCGGCTCATGCTGGCGACCGACAACACGACGGTAGTGTCCTATGTGAACAAACTGGGGGGAACCCACAGTCACTCGCTGCTCGATCTCACGTTCGAGTTTTACGCTCTGGTGGACAGTGTCCCGTGCCAGATACGCGCCCGTCACATCCCAGGTGTGCGGAACGTACTGGCCGATGCTCTATCGAGGCCTCGGGATCCGAGCCCCACAGAGTGGATGCTGAACCCAGTAGTGTTTCAGTGGCTGTGCGAACGTTTGGGTCGTCCGATGGTCGACCTGTTCGCAACGCGGTTCAACAATCAACTCCCGTTGTTTGTATCACCAGTCCCGGACCCGAGGGCCATCGATCACGATGCTCTCGCGTTAGACTGGACGGGCTTGGACGCTTATGCTTACCCGCCGACAGCGTTGATACCACACATTCTAAGCCGGCTTCGAGGAGTTCGCTGTCGAATGTTACTGATCGCGCCCATGTGGCCGAACAGATCGTGGTACCCCGACTTGCTGACCCAGGTCACGCAGTCGCCACTCCCACTGCCTGTGAGACCGGATCTCTTGATCCACCCTCACACCCGTCAGCTTCATCCAAACGCAGGGCAGTTCAATCTGCACGCGTGGATGTTGTCACCGAGCGTCTGAGGAGTAAAGGTTTTTCTCGCCGGGCGTCTCGGGCATACGTTAGTATGCATCGTGATTCTACCCAGAAGGTGTATAATGCACGTTGGGTTATTTTCACGAAGTGGTGTTGTAAACATCACATTCATTCGCCGGATAAGGTATCTGTGCAGGATATTGCTCGTTTCATGTCTCACTTGCGAGAGACCCGGAAACTCTCCGGGGGTTCCATTGCCAACTATGTCTCGTCCGTTGCTACGGTACGGGAGGTTGCTATGGGTACCAGTCTCTCCAAAGAGCCGGTGATACGGGGTATTATCAAGGGTTTCAAACAGCACGATCTTAAGAAGGGCCGCCTTCGGGCACCAGCCTGGGATCTTTCCCTAGTGTTGCAATCACTTACGGAAGCTCCGTATGAACCCTTGCATAGTGCTTCGTTCCAGCATGTGACTTGGAAAACAGCTTTTCTCCTCTCCTTTGCCACGGCGGCACGTGTATCCGAAATTCATGCACTCGATGTCGCCAAGGTACGATTCGATAGGGGTGACGAAGGAGCGGTCCGCCTGGGCCTGCTCATGGGCTTCGTCGCCAAGAATCAGAGAGTCGGGCAAGCGGAGAGAGAATTCACTGTAAGATCACTCAAAGAAATCTTACATCCTGCTGATACTGAGGACAGAGCGCTGTGTCCGGTTAGGGCCCTTAAGTATTATCTTAAGGCTTCGAATGAACGTAGACAAGGGCGTGACCGTCTGTTCATATCGTGTAACCCTAATCGCACGGTTGACATAACTCGCAACTCGATTGCGTTGTGGCTTCGTTCTGTCATCAATCTGGCGTACCGGTCTCGGGGGTTACCGGTAGCGGGGTCAAACCCGCACGAGATCAGGGCGCTAGCGGCAACATTTGCCCTACACTCGAATATCTCTGTTCACAGAATATTACGAGGTTGTTACTGGCGTTCTGACTCGGTTTTTGCCAATCATTACCTCAGAAAGGTTTCTGATGAAGACGTGGAGGGGTTGCACCGTCTTGGGCCGCTGATCGCGGCACAAGCGGTCATCTAGGGGGTGTGTCCAGCGCAATTTCAAACTCCGCAGTCGTCAGTCCTTGCACGGTGGTCAATCTGGGTCGTCTCCAATGTTCCCACGCCGTGGGTACAGGAGTGGGGGTCCTGCAAACCAGCGCACTCACACCACAGGTGAGGCGGCTTTATGTGTGTTTTGTCCTTATTTGTATTTTGACAATTATGCATTTAATTGTCTGTCGTGTATTCCAACCTTGCGATACATGCTTACGAATACTGGAATTAGGTCACGCGCCTAATGCATACTTTCAGTAGGCTTGCTCTGGGATATACGGTCTGAAGGAAATTAATTTCCCTCTTTTCGACTGTTTAACCTGATCTAAGATTTAGCTCACGCGGATACAGTGTTCTCATCCGCTGCGGCGATGAAATACCTATCCAGTGGGGCCGTTTGGAGTCACCAATCGTTTTGGCAATGACGATTGAGCCTTACGGTATGCGCATGACAGTGCTTTGGTATTCCTATAGGGTAACGCCTAGCTAGGTGCATGCGCATCGAGTGCTTCCGCCTTGGTGTTTACTTCCGCTGGTCGGAAGGAACGCTAGCAGTCAGGATTCGGGTTGTAGGTGCTCCCCACCGCCTACTGTGGTAGTCAGCCTCGGTATAACAGTGGTAACGTATTACTTAATGTAATTTGTAGAATTTTCCTATTCGGAATATTCTATAAGTAATACGTTACCACTGGGCTGCTGCCCGCCCGTCCGTCCCCCGAGCACTTGCTCTCGCAGGAGACAAGAGTGAAGGGTGTCACATGGCAGCTAGGTGGCTACGCACGTGCTGCATGAGGTAATTGAGATCTCTGTGGTAGATTTCGCTATAGCAGCAGTTGTGGGAGACAACAGCCTCGGTATAACAGTGGTAACGTATTACTTATAGAATATTCCGAATAGGAAAATTCTACAAATTTGTTTTCAGTTTGTTTTCATTATTTCTCCATTGGCATCGGGTAAAACTTGTTTTGATACGTCCTGTAGATTCCTCTATCTGGCTACGGGGGACTGAGCGCCATCACTCTCGAGGGCGTTGGTCAGTCTGGGACAGACAAGTACTTTGCTACTATTGGACGTGTCTCTATTGGCAATAACTGTCTCAGCAGAGTGGTCGTCACTAACTCAGGACGGCGGTCAGCATTTGTCCGAGCAACACCTTACGAAGGTAGATATTGCAAGTTGTCTGATATAAATTTCATGAATGTGTTTCTGATGGATATCCACATCTTATCTTCCAGCAACATTTGTTTTGAAATAAGAAATTGGTAATGCAGTTAGTAGGAGTGGGATGATTAGTCTTTTTTAATTTGATTTCAGACCATGAAGATCCGGGGTAGAATAGGTCTTCAGCAACCCATGCTTGCCATAATAGGCAACTATACTTGTCGTAAGAGGCGACTAACGGGATCAGGTGGTCAGGCTCTCTGACTTGGTTGATACATGTCATTGATCCCAATTGTGTGGCTCGATGCTCATGATATCAATCACTGGATTGTCTGGTCCAGACTCGATTATTTACAGACCGCTGTCTTAGCTGGAATATTGCTGAGTGCGGCGTTTAACAACAAACAAACCAAACCAAACTAATTTGATTTTACTTGTTGAAACACATACATGAGTATCAATGTCAAATGAGAATATTCTTGTCATCAGACCAGTGACAATTGCATTGCATAGATAACTTGATCAATCATCACATCCCCGGTAAGTAATGAATTGGCCAACTGCAAAATAGCATGGTGCATGGTATCTGAATAGAAAACACAAACTAAATTGAAATAAGCCGGCAGTGATTCAGGAAATTTAACTGCCTTTCAGATCTGCACTGCTCCAAGAACCTTGCCCCCGGGAGAGTAGCTATTGACCCCAACGAGTTTGTTCTGACTCCCGGCCAGCAGAAGGTGAGAAGGGTCATGCTGAAGGGTCATGAATGTCTTATTACCACCCTTGGGTGGCCGTTTGTTGCTGTGTTTGCTTGTTCTAATTGTGTTTCTCAGAAGAACACAAAATGAAGCACTTATATTTTTGTGCCTATCATGGTAAGGCTGCAAGAAGACAAGACTGTGCTGGATTGCCTACTCATTCAACTCACAATGAGCGGGGGATCGGATTGTCAGGCTTGCTGACTTGGTTGATGCATGTCATCGTGTCCCAGTTGCGTAGATTGAAGCTCATGATTTCAATCACTGGATTGTCTGGTTCAGATTCGATTATTTACAGACCGCCGTCATATAGCTTGAATATTGCTGAATGCAGCATTAAACAACAGACAAACAAAATGTGCGGGGCATGCCCATCACCTCATGTTTCCCCTATGAGGGAACTGAATTGAGTATTGGATGGTTACAGTGTGAAGTGGCTGTGACTGCTAGGAATGTTGATCATTCGATATAAGATAGCTGCATGATAAATTGCAAAGAACAATGAATAACAAAGCAAGTTTTGGTTCACAATAAAACATTGTTCTGTCATGATGTCATTTCTGAAGAATCAAACGTGCTCGAAACTTGATTTGACTATTTTTGAGAGGGAAATGCTTGGTGAGTTGTTCCCCATGGATGTATAGCTGGGTAACGCAGATGAACCCTGGATAATCAAGGATGCTTCATGTGTCACTTTCACATTTGTGTCTATGTCAGTATTTCTGTTATCCAGACTGTCGTGATTGCATTCAGCCCATCAAACCGTGAGATTGCAATCTGTGCCCAACACAAGGAAATTGTGGCCGCCATTGCTTTTTACCATGGAGATGAGATCAGCAGACAAAAGTATAGAAGGTATGCATCCTTTATGTTTTCAAGGACATCATCATCATCATCATCATCATCATCATCATCCATGCAGAAATGCTTGTTACATGCATTGATGACATCTAAATGCAAGAGTTCTCCTGTCAGATTACAGTATGGTCATTCTTATTTTTCCTTTTGAAGATTGTGTAGTGTAATTTTGTATAGTTCTGACTGTAAATGAGCATCTGTTTCGGTTTTTTTCCACATTTTGAAATTTGACATTGTTTTGAACTTTGCCAATGCCTTCAAATTCTCTATAACACGTTTGCTGATGTTTGAGTTGCAGCTACTCACCAAGAGTGACACATTTGTTCAACAGGTGCCCTTTTGATTTTCAATATGGCCGTCAGGTCAGGCACATTGTCCACATTATACTCGAAATTGATGAGATTGTTTCAGAACCACCCCATTAGTATCGCTTTCTGTTATTGATGGCTGTTTGTACCACTACATATGAGTCAGTATCTAATCTGTGTACATCAATATAACTGAATTTACATCTATCGTCGGAGCTACAGTGTTCTAGCTGTACAATGCATTACAAGTCATTGGCATGTTACTGTATGATCATTGTTTACCACTTAGAACCTCTTTTACTCATTCAATCCTATCTGGTCAGGAGGTAGCTTAGAGGTCATGGCTTGACATACTAAAGGCCCAGGTTTGATTCTCACCATGGGTACAGTTTGTTAGACCCGTGAAGATCCTGGAAAGAATAGGTCTTCAGCACCCCTTGCTTGTCATAAAAAGGCGACTTTGCTTGTCGTAAGAGGCGACTTACGGGATCGAGTGGTCAGGCTCGCTGACTTGGTTGATGCATGTCATCGTATCCCAATTGCATGGATTGATGCTCATGATGTCAATCAATGGATTGTCTGGTCCATACTCGATTATCTTCAGATCACCATCATATAGCTGGAATATTGCTGAGTGTGGCATTAAACAACAAACCATCAAATAAACAATTTGTCAAGCCCAAGTCTAGTGTCCCTTGACAGGACATGGCTCACCAATTGATCCAGAGACAAGAGAATAGCTTCTTGAAACACACCTTTTTAGACATTGACACTCATATGACTGTCTGTATGTTGCAGGGGCATTCGGCGTGAGCGCTTGTCCAAGCCTCTGAAGTCTGTGGAGAACCTGGGTGTGAAGGACGTCAACTTTGACGTGAGATACACTGACGAGGAGAGTGCTGCTGTACTCAGTGAAGGTACAGAGCGTGTACTCGTAGCACATTGTCTGTGCTGTGGCTTATAGAAATGGACCGCCTCTGTGGTCTAGTGTTGAAATCTAAAACCTGCATCACTTAAGGATTTTCTCCTACTTTATGGTGACGTGTCATTTCATAACTGACGTACTGTTAAAATTGGTGTTAAACCACTCACTCTCTCACTCACTCACTCACTCACTCACTCACTCACTCACTCACTCACTCTTAAGGTTTTTTTGCCAATATTTTTATGTATATAAACATCTTTTATTCTTTATTCAATGTTTCAGAGCTACTTCTTGCTCCTTCATCAGGTGAATGCTTAGTTAGTGCATAAAGTACTTGTAAAATATATATACAAAGAATAAAAGAAGATGCTATCCATAAAGTGTGATGTATTCATGTTCTGCCAACTTCTGAATGGCTAAGCTTTCATTTGTAATGTCTATGAAACGAACTCCTCCCTTCCAGCTAAAGGTATGGCTGACAGTGCCAGTGACCTGCAGCTGTTTTACAGCGCCATCTCCAAGACAACGCTAGCACTGATAGGGGAGCCAAGCACGTACGACTCTCTGCCCATGCAGACCCCTCCCCAACACCGCTCCTACTCCAGCCTGGACCTGTACCCCAGCTCCCACCCCGGGCTGATGGCGGTCACAGGGGACAAGGTCAACAGTGACTCACTGCCCCACATGGAACCCAGCAGGTGAGTGAGTCGGCTGTGAAACACCCACCCACCCACATGGAACCCAGCAGGTGAGTGAGTCGGCTGTGAAACACCACCCACCCACATGGAACCCTGCAGGTGAGTGAGTCGGCTGTGAAACACCACCCACCCACATGGAACCCAGCAGGTGAGTGAGTCGGCTGTGAAACACCCACCCACCCACATGGAACCCTGCAGGTGAGTGAGTCAGCAGTGAAATGCCCACCCACATGGAACCAGGCAGGTGAGTGAGTCAGCTGTGAAACACCCACCCACATGGAACCCAGCAAGTGAGTCAGCTGTGAAATACCCACCCACATGGAACCCAGCAGGTGAGTGAGTCAGCTGTGAAACACCCACCCACCCACATGGAACCCAGCAGGTGAGTGAGTCAGCAGAGTATTGAATGCTCGTCTAGTGTTACATTCATTGTCATTCCTTTGTTTAAGGGACTACAGCTCAATGTATGGCGTGGGCAAGACTTTCCACAGTCAGACACAGCCTGTGTCCACCGGCAAGGACGATGACTGGGAGTTGCAGCCAGAACAGCTGATTCTCGCCCTGCCTCCACGTATGTTATAGTCTAGAAACTGTTATCCACTTTGAGGGAGGAGACCTGTCAACATCCACGAGAGTCCTGTTCATACTCTATCAAATTTTCTTGACATTCTTTGGTAGCTGGGGAGTGGAGTCATCTAAGGTGCAATTGGCTCTAATGATTCTTAAATCACTTCTGAAATTGTTTGTTTAAAGTCTGAAATCTTGTGTATACCCGGATATTATTTATAGTTTTGTTCTTACTCTCCTGTGACTTTTGACATTCACTTGCCCCATTGGAGCATTGATCATAATATCAATCACTGGTTTGTCTGACCCAGACTATAATCATGCTAAATTTGCAGGCTGCAATCATAGAGCTGGAAAATTTCTGAGTGCTGCTTTAAACAGTAAACAAAAGGATTTAAAACCTAAGAGCCAACTAAAATTGGGTGGTGTCAGTGTGTGACCAAGCTGATTGTGTGGTGGGGTGCCCCGGCCATGTCGATAGTGCCCATGCTGTCAGACTCTATTCTATACAGGCTGCCGTCATACAGCTGAAATACTGAGGACTCTGGTGCAAATCAGCATTCATGCAATAATTCTCCCTTTTAACATGTTTACGTGTCTGGTACTGTTTCCTGAAAAATAGCTTGTCTTGTATATATATATGAATATGAACCCAATTCATTCATTAAGCTGGTGAAATTTTTTCCAAGGCCTGATTAGATAGCTAGGATAGATATATGTTGGATTAATTACAGACCGTTGCCATATAGCTGGAATATTGCTGAGAGCGGCGTTAAAAAACCAACCAACCAAAAGGTATATGTTGAAATTAAGTTGCACAAATTAAGGGGTTTCAGTTCAAATATTGCTGTTTTTCAGGTGGAGAGGAAATTCCATCTCGCTCCTTCCAGATACTCAACTTTGCCAGAAGGAAAATGAAGTATGTACTGAAAAAATCTGTAAACTCATAGCATGTTTTTTGACTAGGGACGTTCAACATTTGGACAAGATATGGAAATGGTTTGTTTTCCCTTACTCAAGCAAGAAGCGTCCTATGTAGCACGTGGCCTTTTTCCCAGCGCTAAGAATGAAGTGAATGGTCTAGTGGTCTAGTGGTAGGGCGTCTGCCCAAAAGATGATAAAAAATGGTACTTGTTACCCTGCCAGGTGCTTGGCGTTAAGGGGCTAAAACAAGGACTGGTCGGCTTGGAGTCCGGTCTGTATACTGTGTCTGAGTAGGGTATTCATGTTACACTGCAGCATGGTACCTCAGTGGGCTAGCAATATAAAGTCGGCATAAGTCCGGATAGTACAACCAGCCTGACACACACTTGCATGCGCACATGCATTTTGCTATATACATGCAATAATCTTAAACTAGACGTTAAGCCCTGTTCCACCACACCACACCTTGCATGCATAACACAGCTAGAAATAGTCTAAGACACAGCAATTCACTGACAAAAATGTATATGCCAGGCAGGCCAGAATTCAATGCTTATTGGTCATTCACAATGATTATGATACTTGGTTTGATATCACAATACCTGTGCGGGGGCATGGGTGGCACAGTCGTCTAAGGTGCCGCGATTCGTTGTGCAGAGTTGCGTCCCTTGGGCATGCCAAGGGATTGTGGGTTCGAATCCTGGTTCGCCCCGATTATGTTTCTAGGTTTGTCAGCACCATCCTCGTGGGTTTCACCGAAGAGGTAAACATCTGAGACCTGCATCACTTCGGGCTTTCCTCCCACATTAAGCTGACATGCCGTGATGTAACTGGAATACTGTTAAAAGCAGCGTTATACCCAACTCAGTCACTCACTCACAATACCTGAGCTCGTGGGTTTCACCAAAGTGGTAAATGTTTGTGGGCGGCATCTCTTTGGGCCGTTGAAGTCAACTCTCTCACTGACTATGACTGTTTCCTTCCAGCTTCGACCTATGCTGGCCAGGCCACTGTGTGCATGTCTCTCCCAAACAGGGAACAGTCAACCCCAGGTGAGCAGTCATCCCTTTCTCTCATTCCCATGGAAAGGGCGAGGTATGAGTTGGGACCTAGGCATTGTGAAGTATTGTTTTGAAAGTGATTAGATATGTTTGTATGACTGCATTACCAATACTCCATGGGTCTGTATACACTAAGTTCCTCCATCACCTGTTAGTATATGCGACTGCATTACCAATACTCCATGGGTCTGTATACACTAAGTTCCTCCATCACCTGTAAGTATAAGTGACTGCATTACCAATACTCCATGGGTCTGTATACACTAAGTTCCTCCATCACCTGTAAGTATATGTGACTGCATTACCAATACTCCATGGGTCTTTATACTGGGGCCGGTCGGATAGCCTAGTGGTTAAAGCATTCGCTCGTCACGCCGAAGACCCAAGTTCGAGTCCCAACATGGCTACAATGTGTGAAGCCCATTGCTGGAATATCGCTAAAAGCGGCGTAAATCTCTCTCACTCACTCACTCACTGTCACTCACTCACGCACGCACGCACGCTCGCTCGCTCGCTCGCTCACTCACTCACCTTCACTCACTCACCCTAACTCGCTCACTCACTCACTCACCCTCACTCACTTACTCACCCTCACCACTCACTCACTCACTAACACACTCACACACTCACTCACTCACTCACCTGTTGGTCTTTGTGACTGCTTGGTGGTGGAGATGACCTGTGAATCAAGACAAAGTAGCAGCTAGAGGGAAAACAATGAGTGCTTGGACCCATGGACACTCAGATAACATTGCACACTTGGTAATATTTCTTGTGCAACATGTGCCATATGCCTGTCGTAAGAGGCGATCAAGAAGTCAGGCTCGCTGACTTGGTTGATGAATGTCATTGTATCCCAACTGCGTAGATGAGTGCTCATGATGTCCATCACTGGATTGAATATGTTAAGCAACACACAAACAAACGAACAAAACTTTACCGACTTTTGTCTCTGTCAACAACAAGGAAACAAACGCCCAAAACTATACTGGCATTTGTATCTGTAGGAGTACCTCCGAGCTGCGTGTGAGTCCACTCCCATCACTGCATGACAGACCTGACCTGCTGCCCTGGAGTGGAACCATTCAGGTCAACTGTGATAACCAATACAAGGTGAGCTGTCAACGTTGTCGTTCAACTGAATCTTGCTTCAACATTGACTTGTTGGATAGGCATTACTTAGAAGTTGATGGATGACAAAGTAGAGACAATTTATGTTATCGTTGACATTGATTGATGCTTCATGGAATTTATGATTGTTCGTTTCGAGCTATGTATCTAGTTTTATCACCAACTCCGTATGATGTCCATCGGTATGTGTCATGCACATCTTTACCCTTATGTAAACATGCTAATGAGTTTTGGGGTCGTAAGCACCCTTGGTGCGATGTGGTAACCGTGTGGTAAAAGTGTTGTCATGCCGAAGGCAGGGTTCGATTCCCAACATGGGTATATGCTAAAAGTAGCGTAGAAACTACTTCCTCACTTACTTTACGATCCTTAACTGGATTATTACTGGTTAATAATTGATATATGTTCAATCAGTGATCATGATTATTGATCACACAGTGATACAGTTGTCTCCCTTTGACTGTTTTGTGTTTTTTATACCCTCCGTTAGACTGTTGCTGATAAAACAGTATATGGACACAGAAATAAATGTAATTCAAGAAAAAAATAAATAAATGATTACCTTTTCAGTTGCTGAAGCTGCAGATCCGTGCGGATGTGATACAAGAACGCAGTTGTGATGTATCACTGTCCAGCACGTCCCTCGTCCCCCTGACCAGCCAGTCAGCCACGCCTTCAGTCCACATCCCTGACATGTCACTTGACCTCAGCAAGGATGTGAAGCTAGCAAACACCCAGATCAAGTTCCTCAACACCAGGATAGGGGAGCACTGTGGTAAGTGGGGAAAACAGTTAGCATTGTACGGAGTCTGGGTCAGGATAGGTCCTCAACACCAGGGTAGGGGAGCACTGTGGTAAGTGGGGAAAACAGTTAGCATTGTACGGAGTCTGGGTCAGGATAGGTCCTCAACACCAGGATAGGGGAGCACTGTGGTAAGTGGGGAAAACAGTTAGCATTGTACGGAGTCTGGGTCAGGATAGGTCCTCAACACCAGGGTAGGGGAGCACTGTGGTAAGTGGGGAAAACAGTTAGCATTGTACGAAGTCTGGGTCAGGATAGGTCCTCAACACCAGGGTAGGGGAGCACTGTGGTAAGTGGGGAAAACAGTTAGCATTGTACGGAGTCTGGGTCAGGATAGGTCCTCAACACCAGGATAGGGGAGCACTGTGGTAAGTGGGGAAAACAGTTAGCATTGTACGGAGTCCAGGTTTAAGATAGGTCCTCAACACCAGGATAGGGGAGCACTGTGGTAAGTGGGGAAAACAGTTAGCATTGTACAGAGTCCAGGTTTAAGATAGGTCCTCAACACCAGGATAGGGGAGCACTGTGGTAAGTGGGGAAGGCAGTTAGCATTGTACAGAGTCCAGGTTTAAGATAGGTCCTCAACACCAGGATAGGGGAGCACTGTGGTAAGTGGGGAAAACAGTTAGCATTGTACGGAGTCAGGGTCAGAATAGGTCCTCAATACAGAGTTGACACAGAGTTGACAGAAAAAAAATCTTCCCGTCAGTTTCTTATGAGCTGGCTTATGTTACGTTAAAATCTAACATGTTCTCAAAGTGGGCCGTTATCATACCTTGTCCTTTATTGTAGAAAATCAGACATTACATTTATAATTACTTTTTAGAATCATTTGTAATTGGCATTGTTTCATCAGTATATGTTTGTATGTATTCCAGAGAGTCTGTTGGAGTTCACCAACACAGCCAATGATCCCATCTACTGGAACGTGTCCTCGTTTGCCCCAGCCTATGTCAAGGTGTGTCACCTCTCACTGCTGTAGTAACATGCTCTACCTATGGTACTCACAAGGGAAAATAGGGGCGGTCGGGTAGCCTTGTGGTTAGAGCGTTCGATCGTCACGCCGAAGACCCGGGTTCGATTCCCAACATGGGTACAATGTGTGAAGCCCATTTCTGGTGTCCCCCGCCGTGATATTGCTGGAATATTGCTAAAAGCGGCGTAAAACCTCACTCACTCACTCACTCACTCACTCACTCACTCACTCACTCACTCACAAGGGAATGGTTTCAAGAGTTGGATGGTGGATAAAAATCTTGATTCCTAAAGTGTAGGAGTCGGAAGGGTTAACATGTCTCCAAGTTTTGCCTCTGACATCTGTTTTTCAGGGGTTTTATAGTCAATAAATCAAGTCTGTCATAGCCAAATCAATAAGTAATGACTCGAAGCATACCTTTTACTCTGAAACTAAACAGCATCTTTATCATAGGTTAAACAAGATGAACAAATGTTACATGGTTTTAGGTGTCGTTGGTAACTCATTCATTCTTGCAGGATGTCATAAATAGGATCTGGGTGGGATGAGGGGCATGACTCAAAACATGATAGATTTCATTTTTTCACTTAGCTGAACTTTTGCACAGCTCTCTATTAATGAGCATCTGATTATGTTGTCGTAGTGTGGAGATATTGCTGTGTTAATAGACCAAGCTCACCCTCATTCCAGCTGCATCCACCAACCCTATGAACATGTACATTCACAAAAGAGGCCTGTAGGACCAACTCACTCAGTTCCTCCACATTATTGCTTGTCCTACGGGCTAAACTTTGACTGTTGTTTGTGTGTTGTCCAGGGAGTTGACCACAGCAGTGACGTGTACCGTGTCACGTACGCCGTCTTCCAGTTCACGGAGAAGTCGGGGCAACTCAAGCCCAGGGAAACTGCCAAGGTAGGGTGTCCCTCCCCTTGTTCCCCGTACCACCCATGGGCTGGTCATGTGATTGAATTAACATATTCACCCTCCATTTGTAAATATTTACAAGTGATTCTGTTGCATTTGATAAGCAAACCAAGCAATTTGTTTCCGTTAACTGAAAAAAACAATTAGATCAAGCCCACTAACAGACTACCTGTGGTTATGCAACACGTTTGTTTTGGATCTTACTGATTCTGCTGAAAGTAGCCTCAAGCATGTTAAGCCACAATCATGAAATATAATGTAGTGCTGTATGTTTGATGCGGGGATGCTAATTAGTATGAGCCTGCTAGCCTATCACTGTTGTAAACAACTGTTTAATGAACTAACACCTGTAATGTTGCAGGTGCCCGTGGTGTTCTTTCCTCAGTCCAGTGGCACATTCACACAGTACTGGGACGTCAAGTGCAAGATCAAGTCATCTGTTGCTGCAAGCTCTCTCACGTTCAAGGTTCATCTCACAGGAGAGGTAGGTTGTCCACAAACCTCCCCAGATTCTCTGTGAAACTTTGTGAAACGCAGCCCAGGCCAGACAGATGTGGTGTAAAACACCATCCCACCCGTTCCTTGCACATGCCACCAGCTGACGTGATAATACTTGAGATGAACTGTACAGTCGATGATCAGGACTAGCTGTAGAGTTGATTTTATCCTGGAACTGTTTGTTGCAGGGAGTCGAGGTGGACAAAGACGTGCGACCAGAGAAGCAGACCAATGCCGCCCGACTCAGTGGGGCCTCAGACAAGGGCAAGAGGTCCAGTAGAGAGAGGTGAGTTCAAGGGGAGCTGTATCTGTCCTTGTTGCCATGGCAAACTATATCCAGATGACCTACAGTGCCTTTGTTCCAATTTTTAAAGTGATCCTATCTCATACTATGCATTCCTCTTTCCCCTTCGACCCTGGCATGGAAAGGTCCTAGAACCAAGTTTCCAGCTAAAAAAGACATCTCACCACAACACATCCCATGTATCGCTTCTATCATCACTGTGTTCACGGCAATTACAGAGTCTTTACTAGAAGTCTCTAGCCACTGATTTATCAATTGATTCAAATCCACTAAATAGGATGTAGTTGTGGTACTTTACTTTGATGATGACTATAGCGTTTTGGTATGAAGTATCATGTTTTGGTAGTGTTGGATCATTATTTCATTATGTGCAGGGGCCCTGGGTGGCCCTGATTATGTTTCTAGGTTTGTCAGCACCATAACCGTGCTCGTGGGTTTCACCGAAGTGGTAAATGCCTAAGACCTGCATCACTTTGGCCTTTCCTCCCACATTAAGCTGACACGCCGTGATATAACTGGAATACTGTTAAAAGTGGCATTAAACCCAACTCACTCACACTCATTATGTGCATGGAAACAACAGTGTATTGTAATAGCCACAGCTGGAACTGTAACATTACAAGGGGACTGCACACTCTACAGCCTGGAGCAGTGTTGCATCATGAGAGAAGGGATTGAGATGAAGATACAATAAACTATGTTTATAACAAACACGCTTGTAACGAAGCAACGGATATAATGAACTTATTCTTTTTGTCCCGACCATTTGCTGTATATATGCTTAGAACAAACTACGGTTATAGCAAACTAAAATTAGTGGCCCCTTCAGTTCGTTATAACCGTAATTTAATGTAGCATCAAGAGCTTAAGATGTTCCTGTATCTCCAGTGCCAAGCGGAGCAGTGACCGTCCCATCCAGTTGATACAGTCTGTAGTGCATGCGGAATGTGATGCCGAGCAGAGAATCACGGTCAAAGTGCAGTTCCAGAACACCTCCGAGAAGGCCCATCAGGTACATGTTGTTAAGACCCTTGAACATCCGGGGTAGAATAGGTCTTCAGCAGCCCATGCTTGTTGTACCAGGCGACTATGCTTGTCATAAGAGGCGACTAATGGGATTGGGTGGTCAGGGGCGCTGACTTGGTTGATGCACATCATCGTTTCCCAATTGAGTGGCTCAATGCTCATGATATTCATCACAGGATTGTCTGGTCCAGACTTGATTATTTACAGACTGCTGTCATATAGCTGGATTATTGCTGAGTTGGGCATTAATGTTGTTGAGGTTGTTCCAGTGTGGTAACACCAGACTTGAGTCCAAAGACCTTGAGTGGAACAGTTTTGTAAATTTCATTAAACGGCCTTGACTTTTGTATTTATCATTTTTTGTCAAGTTTGTCAACTAAAAGTAAAGGGTAAATATTCAGTGTCACTAAAAGTTTCGACCTGTGAAGATCCGAGCTAGAATAGGTCTTCAGCAACCCATGCTTGCCGTAAAAGGTGACTATGCTTGTCGTAAAAGGCGACTATGCTTGTCGTAAAAGGCGACTAACGGGATCGGGTGGTCAGGCTCACTGACTTAGTTGATGCATGTCATCGATCCCAATTGCGTGGATGGACGTTCATGATGTAAATCACTGGATTGTCTGGTCCAGACTCAAGTATTTACAGACCGCTGTCATATAGCTGGAATATTGCTGAGTGCGGCGTAAAACAAGAAACCAAACCACTAAACGTTTCACATAGCAGATGTCTTTGATTACGTCAACCAACCATTGCACATTGTTGTCTCCATTTCCAGATTGAGGTCATTCCTTCGCAGCCTCCCTTCTTTGTCAAGCACAAGACTTTCACTATTGGGTGAGAAGGATCAGAACTCATTTACCTCAGTATTGATAGGGCCGGACCATTCATTTTTTTATCTCAGAATGGGTCCCCAGCCACCTATGTTGGTCATAAGAGGCATCTAAAGGGATCAGGTGTCAGGCTCGGTGACTTGGTAGTGTCCTCGTACCCCAATGGCGTGAATCGTTGCTCACAATATTAATCATTGGATGGTCTGGTCCTGACTTGATTATTTATAGGCTGTCGTCAGATGGTTGGAATATTGCTCAGTGCGGCATAAACTCCAAACATCTTTTGGTTTGTATGTTTGGTAAAACTTTCTTTCAAATAATCCTGTGAACTATCAGGACCAAAAAATGTTTTCGTTTGTTGTGTTTCTTGTTATTGATCGAGACGGCCCATGTGATAAGAAAGTAAACTGTTTTGATCTCCTTGTTGCAAGAGAGCTGATCAGACTGCTCTGATGTTATTGAACACTAATTAAGATTGTTAGCGAGAGGTTGTAAGACACTACACTAAGATGACGGAACATGGATATTGCATGACTTTTGTCAAGGTGTATTTTCCATACACATGGAACATGTTTGTGTGACTGCCGTAAAGATCTCGGTTGAATTGGTTTTATAGCAACCCATGCTTGTTGTAAGAGGCAACTTACAGGATCGCGTGGTCAGATTTGCCGACTTAGTTGATGCATGTCATCGAATCTCACTTGTGTAGATTGATGCTCATGATGTCAATCATTGGATTGTCTGGTCCAGATTCGATTATTTACAGCTGGAATACTGCTGAGTGTGACATTAAAAAACAAACAAACAAACAAACATGGGGACACTCTGCTGAATAAATATCTTGCACTTACTCACAGTCAGATAAAGGCCGATTGGAACAGTATTTCAGTTATATCATCGTTGTGGGAGGACAGCCCAAACTGATGCAGCAAGTTGTAGACATTTACCCACTGGTGAAACCCACAAGGGAATATGGGTTTCCAACCAACGATCCTAGGATTCTGGCACACCGATGACACGCAACTCTGCCTGTTTATTGTGGCACGTCAGACAACTGAACCAGCCATGTTCATTACTTCAATAAGGCAAAAGACCCATGACGATCTGGGGTAGAATAGGTCTTCATAAACCCATGCTTGCCGTGAAAGGCGACTATGCCTATCGTAGGAGGCGACTAACGGGATCGGGTGGTCAGGCTTGCTGACTTGCTTGATACATGTCATCGTATCCAAATTGCATGGATTGATGCTCTTGTCAATTACTGGATTGTCAGGTCCGGCTTTGATTATTTACAGACCAGCTGGAATATTGCTCAGTGTGGCGTTAGACAACATACAAACAAATAAAAGATCAATAAGGCATCAACAACTGTTATCAGCATGGCCTACTTTGATGCTTTCACACACAGAAGAATAGGATCAATAGGATCAGAGAACCACTACATTTAGGTGTGGGTTAAAATGGGAATTGGTTGTCCACAATGGTGGTTGAGTGTGGCTGGTACTGTAAGTGTCCCCTTGTGAGAAGACTGCTCCTGAGATGGAACTGTATGGCTAAATACATACTAAGTCATGCACTGAAAAACAGATCCGGGGTAGAATAGGTCTTCAGCAACCCATGTTTGTTATAAATGGTGACTATGCTTGTCGCAAGAGGCTACTAACGTGATCGGATGGTCAGGCTTGCTGACTTGGTTGATGCACGTCATCATATCCCAATTGTGTGGATCGATGCTCATGATATCAATCACTCGATTGTCTGGCCTAGACTCGATTATTTACAGACCGCTGTTATATAGTTGGAATGTTGCTGAGTGAGGCGTTAAACAACAAACAAACAAAACAAAACTAAACTGTCTTAGTCGACAGGTTTTATACAGTCTAAATGTATTGATTGTTTATGTATAAATTGTTCTCATCACTATGGCTGAAATACTGCAATATTACTTTAAATTTTAACTCAATCTAAAGACGTTTTACTTGAACTGAGTGGGACTCAAATGGCAGACTGTCTTATCATGGGGCAGAATGTCTCAGAGAAGCAAGCAATTGTGTAGTGTTGCCGGTGACTTTTTAAAATAAGAATCCTGGCTACTTTCTCTTATTACTTACAAGTTTTTGTGCTTTTGAAACCTAAGAAAAAAGAGAGGATGGTCTGCTTGGATGTGGAACCAGTTTGTATGCATGTGTGATACAGTCTCAAAATAGTTGGTCCAACATGAGAATCGATCAACGGATGTTTTAGCCAATAACCAGAAACCCCTGTATCTAGTGCAGGGTGATTAGCAATAGGTGTTGGAATTGCCCCTCATGGTTTGAATTGAGGAAAGGACAAGACAAGTATTTTTTATACTACTGTTAATATTAAAGCGGGCATAATGGTCTCAGAATGCTGGACAGTTTCTTCTCATTCTTGCATAAACAGTATTTATTCTGTCCCCAATAACGGACAAGGTCTGAAATTCCTGGTCCATGTCACGTTTTGCTGTTCAAACTTTAAAAAAAAAAATGTTTGGTGTCGTTTATTGGAAAGATTAGTATTGAAATATTGATTCAAAAAGCATCATGAAATGTGGCATGGTACCAAAATTAGTTAATCTGTATGTGTATAGACAGGAAATTATTTATTGACCTGCAATTAATCAAGTTAATGTGAAATAGGAACCATGTTCATTAATTTTATATTTAATATGGATTTTTCTGCCTTCTCATTGTCAATCATAACCATGGTTATCAAAACAAATGTTAACGTTTCTGTGGCAGTGAATTCTTTTTTGGTATTGATATGCAAACATTGGTATCAATACAGTATCAACTTTAAACATTTATCGATATGACAATATACGATAGCATCCCTTACAATATGCCATTGCTGACTGGCCATTGACTCACTCACTCACTCACTCTCTCACAAAGAACTGTGACAGTAATGAGACAAGATCCAGTCGTGCGAGTTTATATTAGGACGTTTTAAATTGCTGCACACCTAATTGTAACCAGACTGTCTGGCTTACTAATCAGTTTATTTCATCAGCCCAGCCAGACTAATTTTACTCTGTCATCATAATTAAGTCTTGTTGACACAGATGTGTCTGTCTACCACGAAGTACAGACTGTCCTGACAATATTTCATTTCAAAATACGAAGAAACGCACCTCACTTATTAATCCGTGTGAAATTCTGTTTCAGTGCTCGAAAGATGCTGAAGTACCCTGTCGAGTTTAAGCCGACTCAGCGAGGCTCTTTTGACGGTTTGCTTGTTTTCCGCATCGACCTCGGCTACAGCGTCAGCGCTCAGCTCAAGGGACACAGCAACTGACACAGCAACTGACACAATGAAAAACGGCCAAAACAATGACGTATTTTGTGTATTTCTAATGTTTTTTACAAACTCTGCCAATATCCACACTGCCGCTATGAAATACTCCCTGATTGTGAACGTTGTGTGTGAGACTGCTCAAAATATTGTGATTTGAAACAGACAAATCAATAGAGGAGTGAGAATTATGTCCTAAGGACCTGACTTTATGAATTGTGTAACCCGTGTGTCGCGTTCGTACTGTATTTCATGGTGCACAAGAACAGCTTGTAACCGACATTTTGAACAAAATTACCATTCATTATATATATTTTACATTTCCCCTATGTGGTGCATTACGCAGGATAACCAAAGATTCCGCCTATGAAATATTGTCAAATAATTGTGTTCTTCCACGAAGAGTGTTACAATCCAAAGAAACAATGTTGAATATTGAACTGCCAGATAAATTATTGATATGCATCGAAGATACCGTTAGTGGACAATTCTTAGTGGTATTGCATGTGAATGATACGTTGTTTGATGTTTGGTTGCCTTTGTGTTTTCGATTCTTTAATTTCAGTGATAAGTCATTTGAGAAAATGTATAGTGTGACATTGGCATGCTGGCTTCAAGACATGAGAGTCGGTGCTATTGTGTGTTGTTTTATGTGTAGGAACTATTTGTACATCTCATTGAAATGAGGACTGGGTTGACATCGATTTCAATCATTTCAGGGGCGGTGGGTAGCCTAGTGGTTAAAGCGTTCTCTCATCGCGCCGAAGACCCGGGTTCGTTTCCCCAATGTGTGAAGCCCATTTCTGGTGTCCCCTGCCGTTATGTTGCTGAAATATTGCTAGAAGCAGCGTAAAACCATACTCATTCAACTCATTTCGACAGAAAAAACAAACTGAATTGAATGTTAACACTAGAAGTCGTGAAATGCTGCTTCAAGTGGTAGATCAGGGCGGTCGGGTAGCCTGGTGGTTAAAGCGTTCGCTCGTCATGCCGAAGACCCGGGTTCGATTCCCGACATGGGTACAATGTGTGAAGCCCATTTCTGGTGTCCCCGCCGTGATATTGCTGGAATATTGCTAAAAGCGGCGTAAAACCATACTCACTCACTCCCTCACTCAAGTGGTAGATCATTGACAAATACCACAGATCATGATCCATACATTTCACAGTGGTGTGAACTAGTTCTGAGTTTGACGAGCCAAGTGGACAGAAACTAGTGAAAACTGAAGAGTGGACTAGTTTGACTGGACCCGTAGAGTCTTCCTGTATTCATAAGTGTGTTAGTCTGTTCATATATTCGTTGTTTTACCCTTTACTTACTCTTGTATTCAATACTTCATTTAGAGTTGATTTCTTGTTTCTCGTTGTGCTATTTATGACGTGCATGTTCAAGTCGCTGTTTTTCATGTAGTGCTTAGTGTTAACTTTTGATGTACATGCAGGAAGGCAGTCATTCAGTGTCAGTATAATAAATCATCTTATTATCTGGGCCCCCTTCCACAAAGCTATCTCAGTGCTACGACTATTGTAAGCCAGTGTTAGAGTATGGGAGTTACGATCACTTTAGCGCTAAGATGGCTTTGTGGAATGGGGCCCTGCACTTTGTTTCCCACAAAAATATCTGCTCTGTTTTCTTCCACATTTAAGATTCAAATTAAGATACAAACATGCAATTTTACTTGTATTGTGTCATGAATCATGTTGCGATATTATCGTTTTGTGATTTCTGAGTATCGTTTCTCATCTTCAATGTATGATATTGTCTTTTCAGTATATTGTTTCACTGCCATACTTGTTGCGTGTTACACTGGGTAACTTTATGCATGCTTTCCATTTAGTGCATATTTCGGTCACTTGATTTTCATGCCATGGAAAGCTTGATATTAGCTTGCCATGTCATTCTCATGTCTTTAAATCTTAAGTTTCATATGCTGCGTTCTTAAAAATGCAAGCTTGTTACACATCATGTTAACTACAGCATCTCTAACATACAGCATTGATACCTGATATGTTAGCTCAGTAGGTGATGACATACTACTAACACCACTACCTGATACTGTGTGTGCCTTACTTCCTGGTGCTGTAGTCTGAATATATCACCTTGCGTTGTACATGTCCACTTCATACATGTTTTCATCTTTCTGACATTTAAAGTGCAAGGAAGTTCTGGTGATCGGAGGTTATGTTATTGCAAGGTCTGATGCTATACACATTCCCAATATAATGTATGTAGAAGTGTTAGTATGAACTAATATGTAAATAGGACCTGCTGAGAATCTCAATCATGTGTGCTTTGTTAACAAATGTATATAGTCGTGTTGCCTAGAAATACATTCATATCCAAGTCGGGGGAGGGCAGGTGTGTTGCAGAAGAACTGTTGGAATATCAGATATGCATGTTATCTTTGGGGTAGTCATAAATTTGGTAATTCACCAGATTTAATAATTTGAAGTTTGAAGTGCATGCCTGAAGTATTTAAGGTAAGGTGGAAAAGAAATGTAATTTATTTCCTTGTGTGGACAAGCCTTCGTTTTGCCAAAATTAGAAATATAAAATTGTAAGATGATTTTGACTGAAATAGTTTTATGGTTTAATCATTTGTTTCAACAGAAAATGAACATCAAATTGACCCTGTCAATATTTTATTTTATTATTTTTGTATTTTGCCTTTGGGGTTAATTAATGACCAATAATATCTGTAATTTTGTGTAGCTTAATATTAGTTGTGTTTTATGTGGTAATATTGTTTCAGATTCTGTATCGTCTGCTCCATCAGCCTAATTATAACTGCTAGTTTAAGTACAAGGCTGCTGGGTGTGAATACAGTGTTGAGGGTGTGTCCTCCAGTTACCTCAGATCAGTAGAAATCTGTCTCAATGTTAAATGTATGTCAGATGCTGCAAGACTGGTAATGTTGGACTAGAACTGGCCTCACTGTTTGACCACACCAGGGGCCAATTGCACAAAACGATCTTAGCGCTGAGACTATTGTAAGCCTATGTTAAAGTATGGGAGTTAAGATCATCTTAGCACTACGACTATTGTAAGCCTATGTTAAAGTATGGGAGTTAAGATCATCCTATTGCTGAGACTATTGTAAGCCTATGTTAAAGTATGGGAGTTAAGATCATCTTAGCACTGAGACTATCGTAAGCCTATGTTAAAGTATGGGAGTTAAGATCATCTTAGCGCTGAGACTATTGTAAGCCTATGTTAAAGTATGGGAGTTAAGATCATCTTAGCACTACGACTATTGTAAGCCTATGTTAAAGTATGGGAGTTAAGATAATCTTAGCGCTAAGACTATTGTAAGCCTATGTTAAAGTATGGGAGTTAAGATAATCTTAGCGCTAAGATCGCTTTGTGCAAGTGGGTCCAGTTAACAGGTTGTTGTCAGTTTTAAGTCTCCGTAATCGCAGAAACGCTAGAGTATGGATTGAGGAATGTTGTTCATCTGTGGATTTGGTGCTACATGTATTATGTTCCTACCTGATACCATGCGTTATTTACTGACTTGCTCAATGGCCAACTCAGGGCTGTGTTGAATCTTTGAATTGACCAAGGCAGTGTCTGAAACCACCACGAAGTGTTGGAGATCTTTGTCATTTTGAATGTCATCTTCCTTGACCAGATTAGTTATATTTCCTCTTTTATGGACCAGCCTGCCATAATTTCTGTTAAAAGTTAAAAAAGATCATTTATTATTTGAAGTGCTGTTTGTTTGGGAATATGCTTTTTGTTGAAGTTCCTATTTCATGAAGGTTTTCTCAAAATGGAAAATGGTCTCAAATCCACCATGATAAGCCGTCATATTGACCAAAAAAGAACTTAGACGAAATAAATTGAACTGCTATGAAATTACGTTTAAACAGTTCTGTTAGGGCATCATTCAACAATATGATGATAGAACCTTTATTGAAATATTAAACAATCCATTTTATACCTACAAAAATAATGACAAGTTGCTCACATGTCTTTTGTTTTCCAATGAGATTTGCAGTGAGTATGCAAGGATCTGGGTGCCAAGCTATTTTTGCCAGAAATTAACATGACAGAGTGACCTCAAACAACATTATGCATTTCTGAACATTGATATTAAATCTTGAATTCCTAGTTGATCGTGTACATATATAAGTAGATTGTTCTCTGTTGCTTTGAGGGGTGGTGGGTCGACTGCTGGTTAAAGTGGTCGTTCGTCATGCCGAAGGCTTGGGTTACGATTCCCCGCATGGGTACAAATGTGCAAAGCCAATCTCTCGTGTCTTCCACCTCATATTGCTGGAATATGGATAAAAGTGGTGTAAAACCCCACTCGCATTCTATTGCTTTGAAATTGTATTTTCAGCATAGCACATACCAGAAAGCATTTCGAGATATTGTGCTCTCGTATTGTGATAATTTTGCAAGAGTAGTGAAACGGTAATAAGACCAGTGACAAGTAATGTTATATGTATCTTGGATCCGTTACTTTGCCTATTTTTGATGATACAAATTAACCGAACCGAATATTTATGCCAATGTGTCTTTCATGTTAATTGATTCTCTCTCCATGGTTCCTAGTTTGTGATTACAATGTATTGCAACGAAAGTTCAATGTATCGACGTCTGGGACAAAATAATATGTCAAGTATGAGTAAAACTACGGACTGATGGTTTTTGATGTTGTCTTAAATGTATACCGCTCGAAACAGTAAAAAAAACCATGAAACTTTTTCATGTGACTATTGTTAATTTGTCATCAGTAAGCTTCTTGAATGTATATTTCAATATACATTCAATATACATTCAATATATGGATTTTGATTAGTCCCCAGGCCACACTTTGGTGTATTCCTTGAATGACAAAAGCTCTATAGAAACAAATAAAATGAAAATGTGAATGCTGTCCAACACTTCATTGGTAATTTCACATTCAGTAGAAATACACGTTATGCATGAAGATTCAGAAAAAGAATTAGCTTAAATACATTTTGGTGTTAAAAGTTGTGAGGCGTGATTGTATTTATATGTCGTTGTCCCAATATTAGTGGACTATGGAGAAGAAATAAGTGATCAAACTAATGTAGACTTATAACCTATTTGTCATTATCTGGACACTGTCTCATTTTCCCCATGAGCTCTAAGGTAACTAAATGATTTCTGATTTTTGATAAATTGAAACGGTTTTGTAACCAGAGGTGTTGAATAGACAGATCCGGGGTAGAATCGGTCTTCAGCAACCCATGCTTGCTGTTATAGGCGACCATGCTTGTTGTAAGAGGCGACTAACGGGATCGGGTGGTCAGGCTCGCTGACTTGTTTGATGCATGTCGTATCCCAATTGCTTGGATTGATGCTCATGATGTCAATCACTGGATTGTCTGGACCAGACTCGATTATTTAAAGACTGCCGTCATATAGCTGGAATATTGCTGAGTGCGGCATTAAACAACAAACAGACAAAGAATAGCTAAGATTCCAACTTTGTTGATCATTAAGAAATAGTGGTGATCACAAGGTGATGTTTCGTATGGCAAACAATTAGTCTCTGTCAGATCGTGATGAATTTTAAAATCTTGATATATGACATGCAGAGTGATGTTTGTGTTTAAAACTAAAGCATTTTGTGAATACCTCGTGGATGCTCTTTATTTGGGGTTGAATGAAATGATACGACTGATCTCTTTGTATTGAACTAATTGTATCTTGTATGGCTCGTATCTAGCATTGTTTGTAAATGGATCATATTATATTGTTTATATAATACTGACTGAAATATGGATGCTTTCAGACATTATCTGCTTGTAATATTGTGATAAACATACTTGGTAGAATAACACTCATTGAAGAGGCAGGATACTCCTCCAGTCTGGAGGGAGCATGGGTGGCCTAGTCGTCTAAGGTGCCGCGATTCACTGTGCAGAGTTGCGTCCCTTGGGCACATCAGAAACCTATGATTGTGGGTTCAAATATTGGTTCGCCCCGATTATGTTTTGAGGTTTTGTCAGCACCATACCTGTGCTCGTGGGTTTCACCAAAGTGGTAAACGTCTGAGACCTGCATCACTTCGGGCTTTACTCCCACATTAAGCTGACATGCCGTGTTATAACTGAAATACTGTTAGAAGAGGCGTTGAACCCAACTCACTCACTCTCTCCAGTCCGGAGCCATCTTGTCCAGATCTCCATCGTGTAGAGGAAGTGCTGTTTGACTCCAGACAAACTCGCTACGACCCCAAAATTTGGTCCAGGTTTTTTTCATAATCCCTCTTTAGTTCATGATTGGAAAACTGCCTCAAACAGCGAGTGTTATGTTACCAGGTGGCTGTGTATGCAAGATTGATGAAACTATTTATTGAGCCAGTGTTAGATCATCCTTCGTAATCCAGGGTAGGTTCATGTTGATATTTCAGATTTAACTTGTTTGTTTGGTGTTTGTGGAAAGAATTGATTTAGTTTAAGGTAAAGGCCTGACCATTTTCCCACTTACTTTTTAGTTCCCAACATTTTGCAAATCTCAAATTTGAGATGCTTTATTTATTAAAAGTGTTCATTTCATAGCAGAGCATCTCTTTTTTTTCTGGTGGAAATGAAACATCTATCATTTGACCAAAGACCATTTTAAAAAGTAGTATCAAAATATATTTTGATATTTTACTTCTGATCCTCCATCAATCAATCATGTCCCATGTTGCCCATATTTTTTTTACAAAAGCTTAATATTCACAAAATAAGAAAATCATACAGGTTCTGCCTCAAGAGAAATATCAAGTCTTGTCTTGTAATATATTCTTCAAAGCGTATATAGTGTGTCGCTGTATAAAGGGTGTTGCTGAGAGGGATGTTGAGTCAGGATCACCCTGGATTAGTTAGGATGGTGATGTATGTGATCTCGAGTTGTGAAGGAAAGTTGGCTGACTGTGATAGCAATATATAGAGGTGGCTGATGTATTGGTGGGAGGGAAGAGGTCACAGGTCACAGGGATAATGACATGGATGTAACAGTCAGCATGGGGGACTTCTTGACACAATGTTATGGCATTGGGATACTGTATGTTGTCAAAGGGAAAATATGTTTGTCTTCAAACATTTTTTTAAGATGAGCTATTACTGTCACAAGATAGAGGTTTATATATTGTGCCAAATGTAAGTTTGAAATTAATCTGTACAATTGTCATTGTTGCTGTGATCCGAGAATTTGTGATCATATTACATACTACACAAAAGAGTTAAATAACACATTTTTTTCATACTACTGTAGTTCATGTCATGGCATGACAAGCTTTGGTAATATGAAGAATCGTTCTTGAACTTCATTTGTGATGCATAGATTCCTTAATGTAAATTTTAAAGACGCATATTCCTGGACAAAGCTCGCTCCATCCTCGGTCCTTCAGGGTGATATGTTCCTATACCATGAATGGAGGAAGGTGTTCATCCTGAACGATTGAGAATGTTTTCATGTGAGACTCGTTTCTATTATTTTTTTATCACTGATTTTCCTTTGAAAAATGACCCAGAATCATGTGAAACTCAAACATGAAGTAAATAACTTGTGGATTGAGTGTACTTGTATAGGTATTGGTATAATTGTTGCAAACTGAATCAAAATATTTTTGTGATTTGTTGAAGGTGAGCTTCAGTAACTAATGTGATGCAGTGCACATGATTATGCAATAAATTCTGTATCACCATGCTTCTGTTCAGTTTTATTTCACTGGGGCCTTGCACAGGCTAGTATACTGTCTGCCTTGGGCAGGATTGGACAGCATGAATAAATTTGTTGGTGACTGCAGATGGGAAAATTCTTTGTATAACTCACCTAGGGGCCTATTTGTTATTGGATTGTTGTTTAAAGCTAGGAAATTGAAGAAAATGTTTATGTATTAATCATGCATGGTTTGGTCTTTTTTAGAACTCTTTTAGGATATTTGCCTGCAGTATTGTCACACAAGTTCATCATTAATCAAGTTGTCCTTGATAGAAGTCTGATCTGTGCTGTCCTGTATCTCTTCATATTGCAGACAGCCACCCTTGTTGGTTTCCTTTGTCAGCACCATACCTGTGTCTGCATCACTTGCCTCTATAGTAAAGA